AAGTAATGAACACCTAGATCTCATCTCTTAAGTGAATCCAACAACCTCATTTTTTAGTAACGTAATTTTATTTATGATCTTACTTTTTTTGATGCAGCAAATAATTTAATATTATTTTTTAGTTACACCTGAGATTTTAACATCTTCAAATAAAATTGTGCCACTAAAAAATTAGAAAAAATTGAAAAAAAAATCCCTCAATATATAAAATTGTGATTTGAGATTTTTAATTTGAAAAATAAAAAATAAGAACCGGTCCTATTTTTGCAAATATAAAATCATGGTGAAATATTTGAAATGACCCTCAGTCAAATGACAAGTTCACTTTAATGAATAACAATTTCAATAGATCAAATCACAACTTGGCTGAGGGTATGTCAAATAACGAGTCGACTATGAAAAATGACAAGTTTCCTTTAGCGAATGACAATTTTAGTAAACTAAATCACAATTTGACTAAGGGGTATTTTAGATATTTTATCCACATTTCATATTTGCAAAAGTAGAACCTGGTCCTTATCTGTTATTTTCCAAATCCAGGATCCCAAATTGTAATTTTACATATTTGGAGGTTTTTATTTACAATTTTCTCAAAAAATTTATGATGTTAGATATACTTTTACCCTATAATAGTGTCTCAGCCATGGAAGCCAAATCATTTAACATTCCTCCTTTATTTAATAGAATAATTACTTAATTTGGATAAAATAAATAAATAAATAAGTTATTTTTAATAAATTTGATATAAATTTTCTAAAATATAATTATATAACATTCGAGTATTGTCAAAATTATAAGTAAAGTAGATTAGCTCAAAAAATGATAAGTATGAAACATAAAATGGCTTAAAACTTCATACTCAGTGTCATAACATGACCCAAAAAGGCTTTACACTTGGTATCAAACTTAAACTCCATTAATTATTGTATTATTAAGAATCGGACAGTGTAATTAATTTGATCTGGACTTGTCGTGGCAAACCCGGGAATCAAATGTTGTGCATTAACAGTGCTATGGCCCTATGATTTGTCGACAAAACTCGACTTGAAAACTGGAAAGATCACATCATATAATTAGTTTGGATTCTTCCCTTTTTTTTATTTTGGAAGTAATTAAAAGTTTGGGATGGGATAAAGTGGCGAGTGATGGGCACCATCTATCTCCATACAATTCTGGAGTTCATTTAATGTGTGAAGGGAATTTCTTGTTCGCTTGATAATAGCAAAATGTTCGACTGATGCTCTGTGTCTGGGCTTGATGCAGCGTAATGTGGGATTATGTTACATTTTTTCGACACTATAAATTAAATACGACCTCCAGTGCTTAACAGAATGTCCGTTGATTAATTTAGAGAAATTTCAAAAATTATTAAATTATTATAAATTGTTTATATTGTTAAAAAAATTAATTTACCTCACTTGTAATGTGATAGATACTCTAATTATCCACATAAACATTCTAAAGATGTTATATGTTATATTCTTCCGGTTCTTAATACATGATATAATTTAAGAGTTAATGTCGGTCATATATATATAAGATATATTTAACATGTTTATCAATTTTTTTTCAAAATTAACCTTATTGATATTCTCTCAATAATAATTAAATAGGAGAAAATGAGAGGGGATTAAGAAAAAAGATCAGGATAATTTTTTTTAAAATTAAATTAATTAATATTTTTAATCCATTACTAATTAAGTAATTTAGTAATTTTATTAATTTTTCTAGATTAATCCATTCGGTCTTGGCAGTACAGCTTGACGGTGTGTCCAAAGTGAGAGCCAATTTTTGGCGTGATGCGGCATCACGTGGGGAGGATACATGATAAACTGACTTTAAATAAAGCATACAAGTGATCCAGATTTTTATAGTATTAGTCAGTTAAACGACTTCATATTAATAACTAATCCTTCGTCATTAGATTATAAGACTATTTATTAATTTTTTTTTAATTCAGAATTGTCATCCACACACAAGAGTACTAACTGACTATCTCATCCACAGAGGACATTTTCTTTCACTTGAGTTGTCATACCTGACTATCTCGTATTGGCTTTTAATTTCTACCATGCTTGTACAGTTTTTACTAAAATCCGTCGCTGGTACCAGCCAATCGTTACTAGCTATTAAAACTAATGGGAGATTATGAAACTCATATTATTAATCATATTTAGATATAGATGATTGTGATGAAACCATCTAATTTACTTATTTAAAAGGATGTTGCTGGTATTCAACTTGCATAATTTCTTACTGTACAAACACAATGAAGAAATAATAAAGGAGGCACAATGGAGTACTTTAAAAATCAGGTCACTGAGAGAAAAGTGAGTGGAATCAATGGACCACCAAGCCTCCATTGATGAGTGAATTAACTATAAAATTATCCCTTTCTGCTAAGTCAATGCGGCGAATGGACTTAAAAAACTGATAACTAAGTTAATGCACAGTACACAATCGGTTGAATCAATGTTATGTGTGATTCAATGCTAGGGAAAATCACCATGCACTTTTGTTGATTTAAATTTCAACTCACTGTTAAAAAATGGCAATATAGTAGTGGTTGTTTCTGCTTGTCCCAAAAAAAATAGCGGTTGTTTCTAGAAATGATCACAGACTCGTCTCTTTGAGATGCTATATTTAATACACGCACTGATATGTGAATTTTTTAGCTTTATTTTGCATCAATGGAAGCACCTTTGATGTGAGAAAATCATATTAGGGGTAATTATATTTTTTTTAATTTTTTATTTCGTACCTATTTATTTTTTCTCTTAATTAGATAATTTAATTTTACTTTTTTTTATAAAAAGTATAGGTACTTCTAAAATAATTTCCCCCCTTATTTTTGTAAAGGAGCGTGTTTTATCTTTTGTATTAGGTCTTTAAGAATCTTGTCACATTTTTTTTTGGGAATTCAGGCATGCATAGGTAGAGGGTGAAATTCGAAATAACGATAAGGTTGGTGCAATCTAACTAAAAGGTTATGAATTCAAGTCTTGAAATTAGTTTTTTTACTTATAGGGCTAAGGGAGCGTATCCCTTTCCAAATTTTATACAGTACTACTCAGTTTTAATTATAAAATATTGTTTATAGATTATAAATAAGATTTTATGATTAGAAATTAGGACCGAAGGTAATAGCAGCTTTATGCATTGAGCCACCCTTTTGACACTGCGCAGGTATTATAAAATAAGAGAATCACAGCATTTGAACTAAAATTATTTCAGGTTCGTATAACTTGAAGTGCTTCATAGATTAAAATATTGAAACAGTAATTAAATTTGAGCAAAATGTCATCTGGATAACAATATATGGGTTCTTGCTACCTGTCCAGTAGGATTTGCAGTCAGAAAAAATAGTAGAGGCAACGAAAATAATTTTACTCTGCCAACGAAAATTGGCTGAATTGGTAAGCAGCCTGTTTGGTCAAGTGTTTGGAGGGCAATAAGTAATTTTTTTAAAAGCATAGGCCTGGTTGAAGAATTTGTGTTATTTGACTTGAGGATTGAGCAACCTGACTTTTGTATAAAAAGTTACAATAAACTATAAATTAAAATTAACAACTTATAACTTATAGCTTTTGAAACATGGAGAGAGAAAAAGTTAAGAAATTTATTACCTCATTTGCTTTTTATTACAAGCCTCAAATAACTAATTTGTAGATAACAAAAAATCAGCTAAAATTAGTTGAAAGTAATAAATAAGTTAGAAATATACTTTTGTTTTTAAATATACTCATAGAAATATACTTTTATTTTTAAATATGTCTTTATAATAAATAATAAAAAATAAAAGAAAATATATGAGATCAACATGAGCTTATAAATAATTTGGTGAAATTATTTTTTTAATAATGTTTCATTATTTATTAAAAATCATAACCATTTTGATAATTTTATAAACAAGCTTACTTTTACTCAATTATAATTCAAACAATTTTTTACCAATATCACTTTTATAAATTAACTTTTTTGAACTCTAATTCAAACATAATGTAACTTATCCAATTTAGTTTTTATCTAATTTTATTTTTTTAAAAATTATTTTTTTAATAAATTATTTTTCTAATCGTTAATCCAACCGGACTCAAGGTCACAGAGGTTATATTCATATTCGAGAATGATAAATGAACAAAAATTATTTTAACGTAATATTGGTAATTAAAAATATACCGATACTACTGAGTCAAGAAATGGAGATGATACGATGGGAGTAATACATAAAGATTTGGAGATGGGATGGGGATTGCGAGAGGATTTGAGGAAGGGACAAGGCAAGGTGGGAATATTAAATGAGGGTCCAGGTGGCTATCAAAACGCCAATGGTAACACAGAAAAGCAGAACAAGAGAGCTGTTAACTCAAAAAGGGCCTGATTCCGTCCCCAATAAGCCCTTTCTCTTTCTCTCTATCCCTCATCCCTCTCTCTGCAATGTCACCTTACCCGTAGCCCAGCTTCCGTAGCCCAGCTTGTAGGTGCTTTCCTCGATTACATCGTCTCCCTCTCCCCTCTTTTGTTTGCCAGTTTTGACAGAGCATCACTGCCACTGCAAGTAAAGAGTGTGAGCGAGTTTTCATCGGGAAGGTAAAGCTTTCTCTGCACTTGCACCATCATTCACCGCCCTTCCTTCCTCTCTTTTCTTCTCTCTCTCTCTCTCAATCCCCCCCACTCCCACATCATCAAGCTTGTGGAGCAGAAAATAATTGGAATCATCTGAATTTTTACAGTATTAACAGTAATGTAGCTGTGTTCTGTGACAGATAGCTATTAATGCTGCAAAAATTAACACTTAGTTTTTAAAGGAAAGACTATCTGTGCAGGCTGGCTTCGCCAGAAAAACCTTAGGATTTTCCTGTAAAAAGCCTGGAACTTTTCGCATCAAACCCGGGAGAGACTGAAGACACCCTATATTCATCACGGCAAAAAGACTTCTCAGACCAGAGAGACCGAACAAGAGAAGGATCTGTGTTGTGTGTGTGTGTGTGTAGCAGGTAGGAAAGAGAATTATAAAAGTGTGTTTGGTGAAGCAAATGGAGGAGACTTATCAGGGGATGTCTTTTGTGGGAGAGAACAGTCGTGGTAGTGGTGGTCTAGTACGTCCTCCTCAAGTGGTGATGAATATGCCTATAGTGACATCTCATCATCACCATCATCATCAAAGTGGTCATCATCATCCATTTATAAATCCTAATCCTAATACACACGCTGATTTAAACACTATTAATACTCTTCTCCTCCCCACACCTTGCACTAATAATAGTAGCTCTTTCTCTTCCTCCTTTGTTATGCTCTGCAACAACAACAACTTAAACAACAGCAACAGCAGCGACAACAATACCGGGTTAAGCTTTGGCTGTTGTTTCATGGACATCGTCGACCACAACATTAACAACACCGATGGTAGTTCCTCTTCTTGTTCTCCTGTGAAAGCCAGGATCATGGCTCATCCTCACTACCCTCGCCTCCTCGCTGCTTACGTCAATTGTCAAAAGGTGAGATATTGATGACAGAAATATAAAGACAGGAAGAAAAGCTTAATTTTGACTGGACGTTTATCCCTTTTTTTCCCGCTTTAATTTTTTTTAATATTTAATACCTTCATTGTTCATACTCTCTCTGACTCTCTGTGTCAGGTTCCGATCTGAGAATTCGGTAACTTAACATCTCTTACTCTGGCGATATCATGGTCTAATACTTAAAAATGTTTTAATTTTAACAAATCATCATATGCTGCATCCCAAGAAAAAAGAAGTGAGGAAAGAACTAAGAAGTGGAAAAAAAATCGAAACCCTTTGAAAGTTGGGTTGATAACGACAGTTCCTTGCAACCTGAGTTTTTCACAGTTCAATTTCTTCGTGGCAACTCCTTCATGTTGTTCATTAATATGTATTTGTGCATACAAGTATCCGTGTGTCTGTGGGGCTCATTTGAGTGAGATTTATATGCAGATCCTTAAATCCTGAGACATACCAAGGATCACTGACTCCGAAAGTAATGTTCTTAATGTTGGTTTGCACTTATTAGGTGGGCGCACCGCCGGAAACGGTGGCGAGGCTAGATGAAGCATATGCGGCGGCGGTGGCGGCAATGGGCCGCAGCGGAGGTGGGTCAGGCAGCACCGGCGAAGATCCGGCGCTGGATCAGTTCATGGAGGCATACTGTGAGATGTTGACGAAGTACGAGCAGGAGCTTTCCAAACCCTTAAAGGAAGCTATGTTCTTCCTTCAGAACATCGAACGTCAATTCAAAGCTCTCACCCTTGATTCTCCGATCAACTTTGGTGATCACTTCTCTCTCAATCTCTTAAACTCTATCTTTTTGTTGTTGTTGTGCAGTATGCTTGGGTTCAGGACTTCAGGTCAATTTTTTTAACTGGCCATGCATATATAAATGTTCATGGTTCCGGCTGGAAGTAGGTTTTAGCAGTAAAACAATGACATGAAGTTGAACAAGATGATCCCAAATTGAAGTAGGTCATCACTGTTTTTAACTTTAATCAGATCTTTCCTTTTGGGGAACCGAGTAGGAAGGTCTGGCATCTGTTTTCTCTCAGAGGGACGTTACACACAAAGACAATTATTATTATAGTGTGTGTGGTTTAATTCTCTTCTCGGTATGGGTGCAATATCGTAATTCTCGTTTGTGTTTGTGGGCATTAGGTTTAGAGCTCTTTAAGTACTTCCCCAGTCGATTTTTACCGATACGGACAGGTTAATTGGTTTTGAACCTTGAGACAATGGAAGATACATTCCACAAGAAACGAAACTACTACCGGCAGAGGAAGAAATTTAGGTTTTGAGGTATACTAGGGTTTTCTTCAGAGTTCGGACCTCGTATCCAGGAATGGCAATTGTGAGGTTGGTCAGATACACAATTTTCGTTGTGCGCTTGGAAATGTGAACTTGCAGACAATATTGTATGCAAAGAGGTGAACACATTTGGGACCAGTAGAAGACAAGGGTTGGTGTAGGAGAAAAAGCTATTTGTAGGAATGAATTTAGGAACCTAATTAAAAAAACTACATCATCATTACAGTTAGTCATGACTATTTCAGTCGACATAATTTCTTTTTTTTAAATTGAGTATTTCGTTACATATACCTAACTTAGTGAAGAGTAATGTACTCTTTAAGATTCGGGAAATTTTGGGGGGGGGGTTATAAATTGCATGGAAACTAGAGTCATTATTGTTTGTGGACAACTGAACAAAGCAGCTCCTTCTACCATTTTTTTTAAATATATGTTTTATGTTTCATGTTTATATTTATATCGATGATGATTAGATATAGTTAAACAAGGTCTAAAATACATTTGATAGTTGCATTAGGTCATATTCAAAATGAATTTGCAACATGCCGTTTAGATTTTGCTCAATATTAATTTTTCATTGGTAGATGTAAGTTTTTGTCGGCTACTTTCCCATTAATCAGTATTTTTTGGAGTTAGTTATAATTATCCAGGTTTTTGTTTATCTGATAATAATCCAAGCTTAATCACACCCATTTTATGAACGTTGCTAGATGTCATATGCTCATCATCTTCCATTTGTTGGGATCTGCAAGTGGAATGCATCTTTCCATATTTTGCCCATAATATCATGGTATATAATGTTAATAATTTATATGTTTCCTTGTCCTTAACTAGAATTGGACAGACAGTGACATGTCCAAGTGGGTGTTAATTGTTAGACATCTACAATAGAATGTGGCCACCTTCAATGTTTGTGGTCAAGCTTTTCTGCTGTGTGACTGACCGTAATTTAGGGTATCTAAGAAGCTTATCTGATATTTTCTTGGATATAAACATAACCTAGCTTTTAGTGAATCAATTTTAAATTACTTTTAACCATGTATGGTACAAAAGAAGAAGTATCGTTCTTGTAAATGTTATAAAGCATGCCACATTCAATGTAAAAGAAGAAAGATCAACTTATAGATCATGTGCTGATAAGTTCTTTGTTCTACCAGCTGCTTTTGTCCGTTATTGTTTTTTCACTCACAAAAAAGTTTCTTTGATGTGTATTTCCAGTCAATTAGCTTATATTCTTTTGCTCTTTTGATCAAACACTGTTTTTTTCCAATGAAATTGGTTAGAGGATAAAACCTCCATTATTGCTTGAAGGCTTTAATCATTACCTTTTAAGACCTTTTGCTTCACAAATGACAATGCCTTTGTTTACTAGTCTGTCCTTTCATAAATAAAACTGAAGGCTTTAATTATTTTGCGGGAGTAATTTTCAATTTGGTCCCTCGGAAAATTTTTTTTCTTATTTGATCAAAGGCTATTATTACTTGATGGTTTGAGTTATAACTTTTCAAACTTAACTTTTGTATGATGAATGACAGCGCCTTGTCCTTCTTCGGCCTCTTATCATGCTGATTGTGACATTAAAACTTCCATTTTATTTAAAGAAGTGAATGTCCATGAGATCCTGATTTTGTGCTTTCTTTTTTCAATCACAATCTCTCATTATTTATGATAGCTAAGTTCCTCGTTGGTTGTCATTTCTTCATTGAAAGGAGTTCCCATTAAGCTTTGGAAATATGGGCTGTGTGTTTTGGTAAAGTAGATTATTTTGGAAGGAGACATGATGAAAATGAAGATTTATCCTTTTCATCCCTTCACTTTATCAGGCTCTTACGTATACAAGGTTTCTACTGTTTCAAGTCTTTCAAAATTGCTAGCCTTGCTCTAAAATAAGGTTCTCTCGATGTAACGAGACTCTTGAATAAGGTTCTATTGATGTAACGAGACTCTTGACCGTATTTGCTGTAATTCCAAATACAAACTTTCATTGGTTTGAGGCAGTTGCGTCCTAGTGATTCAAGTTTGTACTTGTAGCGTACCATTATCTAATTTTGATTTGGCCCCTAATAAAAATACAACGTCTTAAACTTACATATATTGTTAAAAAGTAGAGGCACTCAAACTTTGAATTGGAGTTTTTCCTGCATTCATTATTGGTCTATCGATTATTTGCCTAATAATTACGGAAGAGGAAATGATTGGGTGTCATATAATAACGTACTCCTCTGGTCCTAAATATATTAGGACCGGAGGAGTACAACTTTTTCTGGTAGTCTTTTAGATATTTTTGCTTGCTTTGAGTTCACTTAAACCCAAAACGTCAAGATCACCTCAATGATAGAATCTGAGACCTTTAGGTTATCTGGAAAGTGGAATTACCCTTGATGAATTTTGAGAGTATTTTATTATTGTTATACCAGTATATGAACTATGTATCAGCTGTTTAATTTAATTTGAAATTGGGTGCTTTCTCTAATCTGGTTTTTGATGTACCTATACATGCTTCAAGTGCAATAGGATTGTGATTATGTTGATGATAATTCTTGGTTATGTTACTAACAACGGTATATATATATATGGTCTTATCAGGTTGTAATGAGATTGCTGAAAGGACTGAATCATCAGAAGATGAGATGGATCTTGAAAACAGCAGAATTAGCATGATCGATCCGCAGGTGGAGGATAAGGAACTGAAGGATCAGCTTCTGAGGAAGTACAGTGGATACTTGGGTAGTCTGAAGCAGGAGTTCATGAAGAAGAGGAAAAAAGGGAAGCTGCCTAAAGAAGCAAGGCAACAATTACTGGATTGGTGGAACGGACACTATAAATGGCCTTACCCTTCTGTATGTTTGCATCCTTAACCTCCTTCTTTTTCATGAACTTGTTTGGTACTACGCTAAGCGTTTCTTTGGAGTGTGGCTCAAGAAAGCTGCTTCCAAAAAGATCATATTTTTGGGACGCCCTAATATGTACAACCAGCTAGGCCTGTCTTTTGAAAATCTTGCCCTCACCCTCAATGAAAGAGATAATATATGCCAACGAACCAACTGGGTTCAATGAATCTTATTCTCTCTCATCTCATCTTTTGGGACGCCCCATTATGTATTCCATTTAACCTTTCGATCTTGAAAAGAACTTTAGAATGAATTGATGCAGTGGCCTGTCTTTGAAAAAAAATCTTGCCCTCACCCTTCATGAAGACGTACTAAGAGCTGATCGAGAGTTAAGTCTAGTGTTAAATATAAGACTTTAATTTAATTTGTTTCTTAATTTCTCCCAAATAATTACAATGCGAATGACTTGAAAAAGTATTTTAGGAAAACTAACTCGTATTTTTTACAAATAACTGAATTAACTAATTTACTTAATCACTTTAAATTAGTTAATTATGTCTTATAAATACTGGGGTAGTACGTAATATGCCAATGAACCATCTAGGTATAATTTGGTTCAATGAATCTTATTCTCTCTCATCTCGTGTGCTTTTTCGTAAGAGATTCTTGGATTTGGGCGCCCACAATAGTTGAAGAGATAATGATTGCTATTTTGAAACGAGAGGGTTAGAGTTTTAATAATGGTGATTAAATGTGGATTTGATTTGATAAATTTACAGGAATCACAGAAGCTGGCACTTGCAGAATCAACAGGGCTGGACCAGAAGCAAATAAACAACTGGTTCATTAACCAGAGAAAACGTCACTGGAAGCCTTCAGAAGACATGCAGTTCCTGGTGGTGGATCCAATGCATCCTCCTCACTACTTCATGGACAACGTTCTGGGAACTCCATATCCCTTGGATTTCTCTCACACTATGCTCTGAACAAAATATTATTTAAATATGCCTTCTGCATTTTTGCATGAGGCTGATATTATTATTATTATTATCCTGTAATCTATGGTAGCCGTGTTAAGAATGAAGGCGTTATATTCACGAGTTCACAACTTCACTTGTTCACTTCTAAGCCCTAAACCTTATTACTTAATAGTAACCTGTATTATAGTGTGTGTGACTATTTATACGTTTTATGTAATCCCAGATTGTTATGGGAAATATGACGTCTATGCCCAAGAGTATATATAGGTGTTTTGACGAACTAAGGGGGAATAAGGTTCCAAATTTTCTAACTTGTATTATACATGAAATATCATTTCTAATTTTGATTTGATGTTTTCAACGTTGTTTTCTTTACATTGAAACGTATTGGCAGGATGTGTGATGTAAAGAAATAGTAATTACAAAGTATTTGTGTGGAATGTAAGAACATTGGAATGAAATTTATATTTTATCTAAAAAATAAAAGTAAATGTGAAAATTTTATGATATGTGAAGGATACAAATATCCATGTGAAACTCGGATTACGAAATAAGAATTGCTTGATAGGTTCTTTAATAAAATTACATAATTTGATGTTTTATTGCAATATTTCTCTATTTCTGAAATTTTATAAATTGTCTAATTATATTTGCGTATATTATCAAATTCATTGGAGTTGATGACATTTTAATCTGAATCTAAACATGAGTTGTGTTTTTTGCAAGGAGTTTAGATAGATAGAGCAATCTTTTGAAAACGCTGTCCAATAGTAATTTTCTTTTCGTATTGGCATAAAGTTCCAATAAAAGTGTTGGTGTCCCTTAAAGGAAAAAAGTTCCACACAGTGCATGGAAAACTTGAGAATAACATTTGTTTTTGGGAACACATATATAATTCAGGAATTACGCGTGGCTTACTGATTTATTTAAGCAAAATTTCAATTAATTTTAGTCAGCTCTAACGAGTAAAATAAATTTAATATAGTTTTTCATAAAGCTGCTTTTTGTGTTTGATCATGTAATTTCTCAATTTAATCGCTCATTGTAGATTTCTATCTGGTCTTTCATAAATAACATTGCCACCAATAATGTGTTTCTTTTTATCAATCTACTGAAGATGAAATTGATGGATGTGATAATACATATCTTAATTTTTTAATGGATTAGAAATAATGTCCTATATTCATTTATATCTAATTTCATTTGTTTCACGATTAATAACAGAGAAGACATTTTTATGAGCAAACCAAATTAAGAATTACTTTATCTAGAACTATAAAAAAAAACTAAATTGAAAAAGTAATTTTATGAAGAGAACAATTAGGGTACAATGCGAATTAGAAATTTAGAATATATTTTTTTTCTCCTCCAGATTGGGGTTCTTATCTCACACTCCAAGTCTTCCAGGCATCCTGACTAATTTACGAAAGCAGTGGGCTTTTTTGGTATATAGTATTGGGCTTTTAAGTTGGGCCGAAGGGGATTTCTACTCTTCTGGATTAAAAATTGAATGGGCTTCCATGGATCCAACTCGTAGAAAAAGCGGGTCTTATTTTCATTTTCCCGGCGTATCCCTCGCCCCCGCTCCAAAACCAGAACAACGTAGTGGGAGCTGCTAGCTTGCTACTAAATCAGTGGTCCTATCTGGAGCATGGTACTATTTCATCTCATACACTTTTTCTGCATTGATTTGGGGCATTCGATGAATTTCATGCTTTGGGTTGGTTAGAAATTGCTGGGCACAGAAGTTTGAATCTCATCCCCTGATCATTTAGTCCAAAGTTGTCCCTTTTATCCGTTGTTTGTATGTATTTGTTTCTCTACATTTGGATTAACCATCTCAGAATTTGAACGAATCCCAGATAGATAAACAGACATATGTTTATATGGTGACTTATGGTGTTGACTGCCGACCTATTCTTTACTTTCCCATTTATTTTTTCTCGTTAGACTTCAAGAAACATTTTTTTAGCCTAATGTTATCTAGTAAAAGTGGAAGTTTAATTACTTGTAGGGCATGATTGATAGTGTGATTTGGTCGGTTTTAGTTTTGGTGTTGTTCTGTTTGAGAAAGCTTGAGTTTCTGATGCTTCAAATTGTCAGGTACAAATCCGCATGCTGGAATGCGTAGTTGGGGCTAAATTATTGATACAGTTTGTTTAATGAAGTATGGCAGCTTTAATCTCCAGAAGGATCCAACGTTCTTTTGGTTCTCTGTATTCAATAGGCCATCGTTGTTATTCACCAAATCCTAGTCATCCGCCATTGATTAGATCAGATGGTATATGCATTCTTTAATTTTACCACGTACTTCAAATTCTAAATCTGATTTTGCTTACTATAAGCTTCACGATTTCCCAATTATTTTGCATCTGCAGATGTATGCAACAGTTTGGCCGGGGAGAGACTGTTTTCTGCGGGACGTTCCGGCCTTCTCTCGGTATGTTGGCATAACATTTATTTTCCCCTCTCCATATGATTTTTTAATAAGGATGGGTATTTATTCTTTGAAGAATCATCTTATGATTATGGTTGTGTTCACGGCTTCATAATGTACGCCTATATGTTTAAATGTAGGTCAGGTCATTGATCTGTTCTCATCGGCAGTTTTCAACTTCTGTTTTAACTCCTGAGTCTGGTGATAGTACATTTCCTTCTGATTTATTGTCTAAAGTGCCAGGGGCTGCTTCTGAGCGTACTATAGGTATGAACTATATCCTAAAATCTTCTACCTGAATTTCATAATGCTTCATTACCCTCCGAAATTGATATATTCTTAAACAATAGAAAATCAGCCTTCCAGGAAGAATTCTAGTGTGACTCTATATAACTAGGCTATTATTGAAGTTACTTTTTTGTTGGTTCTGTATTTTTCTTAAAAGGTGAAAGATGCGCTATTCTCATGTGAAAGTCATAGAATAAACATACCTTTATTGTCAGCGCTTACTGTATGCATTCTCAAGGAAAAACAATATAATTGATCCTTTGATCTTAAATTGGTTCAATTTCAGATAATCACTCATGGCATATGAATTAAGTATTATATGCATGTTCAATGATCTGACTCCACTCTAAAATATGAACTTATTTTGGATTTCACTTTCATATCTCGCATCCTCTTTCAAAAGTCATGCACTTCACATTTTTCTTTTTCGTCTGCTGTGTTTTTTGTAGCCTTAATGTCTAAGGGTTCACGTTCTTTACTTTAATTATGCATCCATCTCTTTTAAAAATAAGGATGATGGTGATATCTAAATACTTCATGATTATAACTTGTAATGAATGAGACACATTTTCCCATGCTTGCATTGGGCTTAAGGAATGAGTTGTATTGTTCATGGCTTATAAATAGTGTGGCTTGTGATATGATTAAAACTGAAGTGTGTCTTGACTATGTATGGTCTTTTCATTATCCTTCATCTATCATATCAGGTGTCAAGTCTTGATCATCATGGAAGAGTTTATGTATTTGGGTGTGGCCTTCTTTGTCTTAAATGATATTTTGGAGCTCGTAACTAATGTGTTTCATGATGTTGTAGGGCTTTGCCAGGATCTTTTGATTCCAGTGACCAATTTTTGTAATGAAGACAAGGGCCTCATGGTTTTAGCTGGTGATGTTTTTGACGTTCCTATTAGGAAGGATATCATCCACCGTGTTGTTAGGTGGCAACTTGCGAAACGACAGCAGGTAGCGACTGTTCATAATGCTTTTACATTCAAAGCTTGATTCTTTATAATTTACATGTTATCGTGGGGACATTCTATATTTGAGTTAGGGAAGACTGCTGACTGTGATTTTATTATATTGGCCAAACAATAATTGGGATGGTTTTTGTGTTGAAATTCTAAATTATTTTCTTTTATTACTTCTGTTGAGACATTGATAATTTCTTGGGGTAAAGGGGTGAATAGGGGAGCATGTGAGAAGCTTATGCATTTGAACAATAACCATGGTTTGGCATGTTTGGATTAATGTTTGAGGATGGAATATTTCGTGTCCTTTGTCTTAGTTGAAATTTCTTAATATATTTATATTGTCCTGCACTTGGACAAGATGGTATTAGATGCATAAATTACCTAGCAGTGGAGATGCAAAGTTTTAGCTCTGGAAATTCTACATAGGGGACTTAGGCGTTTGCTAATTGAGTGGAACAGGGAACGCACTCAACAAAAACTATCAGTGAGGTCAGTGGGACTGGGAGAAAGCCTTGGAGACAAAAGGGAACTGGTAGAGCAAGACACGGAACTTTACGTGGGCCTCAGGTAACATAGCAGTCTGCTTACTGGTTGAGTGCCCCATATTTTTTCTTCCTCTCTTCAGAACTTTGCTGCATTATTAAAAATTTTGGTAGTTGAATCTAACAAATCCATGAATGGGTAACAGTTTAGGGGTGGTGCCACTATGCACGGCCCTAAGCCCAGAAGCCATGCCTTCAAGCTCAATAAGAAGGTTCGTCGTTTGGGGCTGAAGATTGCTCTGTCAGCACGTGCGGCCGAAGGAAAGGCAAGTCTCTTCCTTAGCCCCTCTAAAATTTACAGATCTCTGCCCTTCATCATTCTGTTTCTCTTTCATCACAGAAACTATGCGTCCTGTATGAGTTTTAGAATTTTGCTTATTCTCAATTTAATTTGATCTTTCATGTCAGGAACTTTTTTTTTTTCCTTTTTTATATTAGGTAAATTATCGTTGCTTCCCAAGGCTTGATTACGTGACATTCTATTTTCTTTCTGAAAGAACACTTCTGCTTTACCTTTTTCCTTTTCTTTGTTTTTTTTTCTTTTTTGCCAACAACTTCTGTTTTACCATTAGCTTGATAGGCATTGCTATGCCCCCTAATGTTCATTTAGAGTTTAGTCATGTCTATGATACGACTATTTCTGCTGCCTTTAAGCAATAAGATGCCCTCTCTCCAAAACAAAAGGAACCAATTATTCGTCTTTGTAATTTTTATGTAACATGAGTTTCCTATGGAGGTTAAACACTGTTGGCACAAAACATATAAATAGCATATAATTATGTAGAGATAGCTGTGACATGTGCGTGTTTCTGCATATAAATCTCGATTTTCCACCCATCTGTATCTGCCTTCAAATGCCATTCCTATCTTTAAGAATCTCTTGACACAAGGGGGTCTAAATTCTAAAATTGAAGGGTAAAGACATAAATTCGCATTCTTGGTTAACTTTGTGTCTCACGCTACTAACAAAATACCCAAATGTCATTTAAGAAATGAGGGGGTTACTGGTTACCTTCTCACAAAATCTTGGAATTTATGTTCATAACTACTCACTTTTATATTGTTTAACCGTTTGACAACTAAATAGACGATATACCAAAGTTTCATGAATTTCTTTCAACACCCCAAATCTTCCGTTGAACCTCACACTGTTTGATTATCTCTTTGTATATTGTTTAGTTGTTTCCGAGTTTCATGTGATTGGACCCCAAAAAAAAAAAAAAAAAATCAACGCAGGCTATTTTTTTATGTGTATTTCATGTCAAAGGATTGCCTTCTCTTCTTTCAAGTTTGACCGCTCCTTTGGGCATGTACCAAGCTCTGCTCTGATTGAATATCATATTCCATAGTTTACTTTATCAAGCTGCTTTTTCATGACACTGGTAGAGCGGGTTAGTGTGTCTGTTCTTGAAACTCAGTTATGCATATTGAGTCTTTTAGCTTCTTTCATTTCTTAAATACCTCATTTGTACCGTTTGCTTACTTTTTCCTTGGTAGTATGCCCCTTGCATTTTATGTTGAATTAGAGCTTATATTTCCACTTTACATGAGCCTAATTATGGGCGATGGCATATACACACAGCTTCTTGTGTTTGACAATTTGGAGGTTCCCACCCACAAAACCAAGAACATTGTGAACTATGTCAATCAAATGGAAAACACCAAGAAACTTTTGCTCGTAGATGGTGGTCCCATAGAGGAAAAGTTGAAGCTGGCTACACAAAATCTACATTATGTTAACGTTCTTCCCTCCATTGTAAGTTACATTTTTCATCCTTCTTGTTTCTCTCTATAGATAGGAGTATAATTTATAATAAATCAGCTTCCTAGAGTCAATTGGTGTTTTCTGTTCAGAAATTACGGACTTTAGAGAGACTGTCAACTTATCAGATTTTGAAGTTTCCTTTGCTCATTTATGTTTCACTTACTCTTGCAGGGTTTGAATGTCTACAGTATTTTACTGCATGATACATTGGTGATGTCTCGTGATGCTGTTAACAGAATTGTTGAGCGTATGCATACTCCAATAAACCGTTGAGGCAGTTTTGGGTTATCTCTTGCTCAGAATTAGGAATATGGTTCAACCCCGCCCCCACTTCCTTCCTTCCTCTCTTCTGTACAACATAAGGAGCCACAAGTTGTATGCCATTTTTGTTCATCAAAAGTTGGGAAGTAATGTCAAATCTTCTGTTTCGAAGCTTGTAATTTTAGGAACTTTGATGTTTGAATTTTGATGAAGTTTAATTGGAGTGCTCAAGTTTCTCAAGGTTTCTAATGATGACATCTTTATTCCCATCAAGCTATGCCCCCAAAGATACAGGCTCCAGAGTTCTGAATCTCTCCCTGACATTTATAATGCATTAGATCTGATTAGCCAAGGATTTTGTATGGAGTGATGGACCCGTTTGATCAAGTAAATACAGTTCTCATGGATGGTATCAACGAGAGAATATTACATGCTCTCTTTCTTATTTGCTATTAATTTCATCTTGTTATCCTCGATATGCCAAACATCACATATTTTTTTTGGCCTTGCATGTGAACCTTGTTTACTGATTTGACCAACATAATTTGTCTTCGGGTTGCAATGATTGAGCAAACATGTTGGCACCAGGCATGGCTACTAAAAATGATGAATCTCAGAAACACCATTGTTTCTTTAATGCGACTTTCACTGTTCTTCTCCCCCTTGTGTCTTCTACTTGATGCTTCTTCTGTACAAATGCTGTGTTTGTGCTTCTTTCTACCAGTTTTCCTATTTATTTACACGGGAACATAAGTGACACATGCAGAGAGAATGGCTATGCTAACTAATTTCACGGTAAGTAACACTTTCAGCACTTAACCAAAAGAAAGAAGCTTAAATTTAATTATATGAGAAAAACAATTATGGTCAATGTAACAGCAAATTTAATTCTTTGAGATGTTTTTTAATTATTTGTATATATTAGTAATAGTATATCAACAATGAAGGACAAACGAAACGACCGGTTGAGATTATAAAATATGTACTCTATTTCTTCTCATTTTCTCAATTTAAGGATTTCTTTAAGAATAATCAGTTTCAAGAGTAAAGATTTGTCTCTAAAAATGGGTGAAACGTCCTCAAATCTTCAAAACAGGCCGTGGAATTTGGCAAAAAGTTGAGCAAAAAAAAAAAAATCATCAAAGGAAAAAACTTGGTAATGGATATATGTGCCAGGTAAAAGAAGGCCTGCTTAACGCCAAAAATCTAATAACACGCTTGATAATGAACCTTAAGACCGTATTGTATCGATTCTCGAATCACTGGTGAGCTCAGGCAAAGCGTCACCCTTACTCGTTCCTCTCATACAGCAGAAAGTCCTCAGCTTCAACCTTAGGGTTCCTCTGTTCTTCTTCTCGCCAAAATCTTAGGGCTTACAATTCATACATTTCCAATCTTATGGCGAAAACGAGGCCGGGTAGAAAGGACTTGGACTCATATACCATCAGAGGCACCAACAAGATCGTCAGAGGTAAATCGCTATCTATTTCTTCTCACAAAATACCCAGCTCTGTTTCTTTGTTAAAAATCGTTCCTTTCTTGATTTTCTGGGTTTCGATTTTCAAAGATGTGCTTTTGTGCTCCTTTTGGCAGCTGGAGACTGTGTACTGATGCGGCCTTCCGACACCAGCAAGCCTCCGTACGTGGCTCGCGTGGAGAAGATCGAACAAGATAACAGGAACAACGTTAAAGTCCGCGTCAGATGGTATTATCGGCCGGAAGAGTCGATTGGAGGACGCAGGCAATTCCATGGAGCGAAAGAGCTGTTCTTGTCGGACCATTATGACGTCCAGAGTGCTCACACCATTGAAGGGAAGTGTATTGTACACTCTTTCAAGAACTACACTAAGCTTGAGAATGTAGGAGCAGAAGATTACTACTGTAGATTCGAATACAAGGCTGCTACCGGTGCTTTCACGCCGGACCGTGTTGCTGTGTGAGTTTTCTTTTGCTTTGTTGTTGATGGAATTTTGGCGTTTGGAGAATTGGATTCCTATAACCAATGGCTTTTTGTTGACTTGGTTTGCGTATTGAAGGTATTGCAAATGCGAGATGCCTTATAATCCAGACGACCTCATGGTGCAATGTGAGGGGTGCAAGGATTGGTAAAATCATTGTATTCTGCTTCACTTTGCTCAGTATTAATGTATTTGCGCATGCTTTTTAAACATTCAGATCTTTTGAGTATTAAGATATGTGATTTACTTGGATGAAGTCATTAGATATAACTTCCGGTGCCTGCAGAAGGAGCCTGGAATTCTAACAAGCTGTAAGGTCAATATTGGCCCTATAACATAATAGAAAATGATGTAGATTTAAGAACTAAAGGCTTCTAAGTCCTATCGTAGATTAATTTTGACTATATATCCTCTATTTTGCCATGCTAATGTCTTGCATGTTGGAGCTACGGATTCCACATCTCCTATCTATTACCTTCGTACTACCGCTCTGAATTCTGTGATGTTTCTTTTTCCAAATAAAAGTTAGCCAGTATAAATTGAATGATGCATTTGCTTGTTCTTTACAGTTATTGGTTTTGTGTTATTGTAGAAAAGTTTGCTTGGATAAGTTTGTTAAATCCATGCAAGGTTGGGGATGTAGATATAGTACATTAATTGGCACTGCCTTTTATGACATGATACTTTGATACACTGCAAGATTTTTAGATTTATAGAATATCCTAGAAATATTATTACAGTTTTTGATAAATTTTTAATTTTTAATATATCTATATGCTTTATCAAATACATATTTCAATCTTTGTAGGTTTCTTGCAGGTATCATCCTGCTTGTGTGGGCATGACTATTGAAGAGGCAAAAAAACTGGACCATTTTGTATGTTCTGAATGTTCTTCTGATGATGACATGAAAAAGCCTCAAGCTACATTTTCTGCATCACCAACATCCGATGGCAAGGTGAAACCTGCCTGCTTTCCGTCCCTGATAATTTTTTACATTTGCTTCTATTAATTTTGTTTCTCCAACGTATATCTCACACCACCACCCCGGGAGAAGTATATAAAGGTGGTGGAAACATCTGTGAGGAACAGATGGTTGGTTCAATGTTTGGTGTATACTTTGGAGATTGATGAACAATTTCTTCTATAGTGTGCTGTCGGCGCTGTTGGTCTTGAAATTAGCAATATAGCACAGCTGATATCTGCATTTATGATATTAGAGTGCTGTATTGGTTCTTTATGGAAAGTAAAATTTTCATGTCATTTTAGTTATTTATTTCAGGGAACGTGTTTCAAAGATCCACAAAAACAGAAATGGTACAAAAAAAGAATTTTACCAAACTTGCACATTAGTTCATTAGCCAATCATATTTTGCTTTAACATGCTTGTATTCTCAGTACATTTCCTAATTAATGGCCATATATTCTTCAGTTGAATACATGTGGTAAACTGAATTTTTTTAGTTTTATTTTTCCTATTTTAAATGAGCAAATTGTAATTAATTAAGGCCGTGCATTGGTTTAAATTAAACAAATGAATGGGGATGCCCATGATGCCTCTACACTGTCGAAATGCTTTTTTTTTTTTTTGCTTCCAGTGATTTCTTGAAACATGTCTCGCAGTTGTAGCTTCCTTTCGTTATTGATTTTGAATGTGACTCTATAGATAGCTGCTATTATTGCTTAACATATGGGTGTATGGAAGCTTTTGTCCTTATGAGCTTTTCTGTCATTGTTACTATTTGTCATGCCAGGCATACATTTTTATCATGCTCAAGCTGTTCTTTCACTTAGTTGGCCTCAACAAATTTGTTAGGCTTTTCGTGATCTAGTCTTATTTGCCAATTCCTAAATGGGAAAAACTGCAAAACTCTGGTTGAGCAATTTTCTCCTGGGCGAACCCTGGATTCAGTTTCAACTAGTTTTCTTTTTATTGAACTTTTTCATCATCAGTAAATTTAGATGCACGTTCTTCAATAGTCATGACTTTCAGGAATTATCTTTTGATAGTTGAAACCATATGTTATTGATGTTCAAATGTATAGTTTGATTCATGTCATGCTTGTTTTATGGAGAGAGGCTGAAATTTATAGGAGGTTGGATTGGTGATTATCCTCCTTTGTTGCCATCTATACAATAAATGTAAAAAATTGTTATTGGAGGTATGATAAATCTGTCAATTTCGTTCTTACTGTTATTTGGTCTAATTAAGCCCGTTCATTTTTAGTGCCATTGCATTAATTTTGAGTGGCATTCCCTCATTAGGTTAGTTTATGATATGAATGAGCTTAATCTATTTATTTTATTAAAGTGCAGCATTGTATGTCATGTGTTGTTTTATCCTTATTGAGTTTGCATGCTCACGTTCCCTTGTGTATTTTTGTGGATAGGTGATTTTTCTTTCCTTCTTTTTTTTTTTTTTTGTGAGTCTCAGAATTTTCTTCTGAAGGTAGTATGGTGGTTATTCCACCTTCAAATGACCTCCTTTCTGGATTGCATCGTTCTGTACATTTCGCTGCTTATTTTGGTAAATTGAATCGTGTAAGTTCTTTCTGTAGAGTCTTTTTCCTTGGAGGACATAAATTCCACCCATCAGTGCAGTCTCACCTTTTGTGTGGGAAAGATGAGGAGATAAAAGGAGAAGAAAGGAATCCCATTTCTCTCAGAATCATTTGTTCCGCTTTACCTCCTCCTAAACCAAGTGCCTGGATTTAAAATCCCCATTTTTTTTTTTCGGGAGTATAAGAGGCTCTCTCAGTGTCTTCCATTGGATTGCCTTGTTATTTTGTTCTTGCAACACATCCTTCGGCGTATCTATCTGTTTATAATGCTTGAGATAATAATCGCTATGTACTTGTTTCAGCAGTCATTTTATCTGATGCTTGTTTGACGTTTTAAATGGCCTTATTTTAGATATCTCAAGTGTTTTATTATGCGGGCCTGTTGAATATGAGCACGTCATGTGTTTTATGAGATAATATGTTAGAAGACGTCTAGAAGCTATTAAAGTTTTCTTCTTTTGTCACCACAACTTTACATTTCTACCGTGGCTTTACTTCATTGCATTGAAGAGGAAAATTAAGTACCTTGTGATTTTTTTTTTAAAAATTTTTTAAATCAGGTTTCCCATGTGCTCTTTAGCATGAGGTTATGACTAATTGCTCATATTCATATGAACTGGCAGGTGGAGCCCAAGCGGCGGAAGAGATAGCCGTTGTAGGGACAAGACTGTGAAAAGACGTGACTGCTGCTGTTGTGTGTTGTAAAGCTTCGAGCAGAGGCTACGAAACATGTTATGTATTTGACTCTCTCTTATGTATGTATCTGTGTTTAGTAGATCCCATGACATTTGAAGATATGTTTCCCTTTCTGTCCAGAAAGCGATCATTTCTCTGAGATAACATTAAACCTATTGGCGTAACAAGAAATTGCCACCCCCAGTTTTAAATTTATTGTTTCTTGTGTGTCCATTGGCTTTTCTTATAGTCCTTCACTGCTGTTTTCTGGGTACTGGGTAAAATCTTTATTTCCTATTTAGTGCAAGGCGATCTTTGGTTTTCAACTACTCCGGTCGGACCATATGGTTTTGCGGCATGAATTTGATAACCCGAGAAGGACGATTTTGCTTCATGCGTTCTTATTATTTGGCCCCAAAAAAAAGAATGAAAAAGAATAACTTTTCTAACATTTTTAGGCCGATCATAGTTGCAGTTTTGAGTGGAAGAAATTATATATAATAAGGAAGTGAGATAAAATAGTTAATACCCACGCGTTTTTAGATTTTTTTGAATATAACAAGGAAGTGAGATAAAATAGTTAATTGTTACGGAAAAAAGGAGATAAAATAATTAATTATAACAAGTTTGATTTCATTTCTTTAAAATACACATAGGTAATATTAGACTATATATTAATTTATAAATATAAGAGATATCAAATACAAATCTTAACTAATATTATTTTTCGATCCTAACTATAAGATTTTGTTTGTAATTTATAAACAAGATTTTATAATTAGGACAGAAAGTAATTCTTACAAATTGGGTGAGAAATGAAATAGCAAAAAGGACAAGAAAAAAAAACAAGAGAAAGAGAAAACCAGGGAAACGTTGGCATGGCGAAAACAAGGATAATAATATGAGGTGACAAGGACAGCATATGTTGACGCCAGCGAAGTGATATTTTAACTCGCTCACAGTTGGCACATATATTGCGCACTTGACTGGGTTTACCATGAATCAGCATGATTTGTGGCTCTGAGATATAAATATTTTTGTCATTTATAAGTGTATGTCGTGTATATAGATAGATAGGAACAAGCACAGAAGCGTGGATGGCGTTTGCAGCACTATGAATGGGAATATGAACATATGATGTGAGTGTTGCTGTGAGAGAAGTGGGCAACTTTACATAGTTGCGTGCATGGGAAGGGTTGACGAAGCCATCTATATCACGTGCAAGCTCACCCAACTACAGCCTCCTCACCATATCGTTTCAATTTTATCGGATGTTCTCGAAACAACTGTCACCTCGTTGTCTATCTCTCTCTCTATATATATACACATAGAGCTACTTTCTGTTTGTCTAGACTTCTTAAATTTTATTTGCTTCACTAGCAAACAGCTGTCTCTCGGTCTCTTCTACAACGTAAGAGGATTGTGTCATTAAAAAACTCGTCACTTTTCCGTTCCGTGTTGGTCTTTGATGTTAACATGTTCTTACCTAGATCAAGTTTGTGTCCCTGAAAGGGAGAAAGTAAAGTTAGTAGATCGAGGAAGACACTTGTACGCGTACGTACAGTAATGGGTGCCTGTAATTTTTTGTGGGGTCTAATTATAAATAAACGAGAGGTGACATTCATTAATTAGTTTGGTATGGCTTTATTTATGATAGGAGTCAGGCCAGCCTCACAACTTGTTTCAATTCCTTCTTCAAATAAGTTTCTGTCCAGCACGTATACCCTAAATATTGTCTATTACATGATCACGTTCATCTCCAACTCGCATGCAGATCTTCGAGTTCTTGCATTCCAGAAATTGCGGTAAAGTACTTCGAGCTAGACTCACTATTTGATTGAGATCGAAGTCAAATTCGATCCTTCGAAAAGATTGAGGATAATTCCTGTGACACGTGTTAGAGCAAAAAACCACAAACATGTACTTGTACTCGATCTATTTTAATTAGAAACCTGGAGAACCATGCATGTATATTATACTCTATATATATAAGACTATCAAAAGGAGATAAGGTTTTTCAGAGTTTCAATCATGAGAGGATCTGTCCTGCCATACAACGAAATCACATATATTTGTGATAATCATTAGGCCAACCTTGAGTCTCTCTCAAATCTTCATGCTCATCCATGCTTTGAGTAAACTAGGACCTGCGAAGAAAAACGAATTTGCTTGCATTGCTTGATCATAAGGAGCAAAATGCTCAAAATAATTAAGCCATATATATATAATTCATTTTTTGCGGCCGCGGAAACATAAAATAAAAACCAACGACCCTTTCAAAGAAACAAATCCTTCTTTATTAGGACACAAACAAATCGCTTTCATGCACATTAGACCACGAGAGAGAGAGAGAGAGAGAGAATTCATTAGATGCATGCACAATTGCGAGTTAAAATGCATCAGTACGCATATGTAGTCCTTAATTAATCCTCCAAAATCCTGGATTGCCCATTTGGACTCACCCTAGTTAATTCCCTTTTCACGTTGCGCTTTCCGGCTCTCTAATCATCATTTCTATTTCTAATGGGGAAAAATCACTCAAAAGGACAACTGACAAAGAAATTAAAGAAAGAACGGTTCAAAGCTGACGGCTCTAGTAATCATAAGGCAAAGGAAACAAACTGAGTACAGCCAACAAGAAACTACAATATGTTTTATACACACACACACAACATGAACATGAACATGAACGTGTTTGAACTTTTCGAAGAAACTTTGGGAATATGACAATGTCAAATCTGAGAATAGTACTTTAACTTTTATAAGATGGTAATTACCAAACTACATAAATATGATTTAACTAAATTAACTGAAATATCTTATTTACTCAGGAAATAGAATATATATTCATACACGACATGAAGCGAGCTCGTACGTGCTTTGCTTAGGCAACAATATGATGATCTCATGATCATCTTCATCATCCTCCTCAAAATGAGCTCGTTCTTTCTTCTTCTTCTTCTCTTTCAGTTATGCATACTCAGAATCGAAGCCAAGTGCAGGCCTAAGTATGGCTGCGAGCTAGCTTTAGCTTCCTACTACGTTGAAGGAGAAAACGCCAACCTCACTCGAATCAGCGGCCTTTTCGATCAGAAAATTCCAGACATTCTCAAATACAATCCCAATCTCCGAAACCCTAACACTACCCTCCCAGCCCAGATTCGACTCCGCCTGCCCTTCACGTGCCGCTGCTTGAACGAAGAGTTCTTAGGTCACACCTTCTCTTACACCATGCAACGCGGCGATACCTACACGTCCATTGCTCATAAGACTTTCGCCGGCCTCACCGACGACCATTGGGTGAGCAGAGTCAACCTTCTCCAACCTAACCAGATACCTACCGGCACCCGCGTCAATGTTACTGTGAATTGCTCCTGCGGCGATGCGCACGTGTCCAGGGATTATGGGCTGTTCTTGACGTATCCAATTCGGCCAGGCGAGGGATTGTCGAAGGTTGCGGCGGAGAATGGTGTTCCGGCCGAGTTGCTTCAGAGGTACAATCCTGGGTCCGATTTCAGCGCCGGCCTGGTGTTTGTGCCGGCTAGAGGTTTGTCCTAACTGCCAACGGACTTCAACAGCGACACAATATCTTACAAGACATAAAATTGATACTCCCTCCGTTACTTATTATAAGAGACAAATAACCGAAGTATGTTGATAAAAAAAACAGTTAAAATTAGTTAAGAACAATTAATGTGTAAAAAATATAATTTTTTTCTAAAAATACCCTCATTAATAAAGAGAAAGTATGAGAGAGAACAATTAAATTATTAAAAGAAAGAGAAGTGGGAGGGAGAGAGATTGTGAGTTGGAGATAATAAATATGGGTAAAATAGTAAATCAACACAAAAAAGTAGAGACAACTTGTAAGTGTCTCTTATATATAGGAACATGCCATAAAACATCAAATGTCTCTTATAATAAGAAACGGAGGGAGTAACAAATAAGATAATAAATTTCTCAAAATTTTCCATTTGTGTGTGTGTGTGTGTATTTACTATTCGATAGCTAGTTTTTATACTTGGTAAACTATTTGATATTTTCATGAACCAAAAGAGACGTACGTGCCAATGACACTAGCTAAATCCTCATAAGCTTATGTGCAAATATCTTTTTGAATGATATGCAAATGCCATTTGGCTTCTTTTAAATTTTTAATTATTAGCTAGTAATTCCTTAAACTGTAGGTTATATTTTGATAATCCATACTACCTTCTTAGTCCTTAATATAAGGATATTCCTGCATCTATGATCTATGATGATATAAAATATTTTGTTTTAAAGCATTAATTTTTTCATTTAATATGCCTAACTAATTGTAAAATTTTACATTTAATCAACCTAACTCCCCTAAAAAAATTAATTAAAAGTAGTTTTTTTGTAAAATTTTAAATAACTAATTTTAACTAATTTTTTTAATTTACATAAAGTAATTAATTGAAACTTGTAAAAAGAATTGGATGAAATATCAATTAAGAATTAAAAATATTGTCCAAATTTCTTATCAAACTTTGATAATCACAAAATCCTATGAATATCACTCAAACAATATTAAGTGTAATAATTAACCTCAAATTAGATGTGTTTTCATGTATCACGCAAACCAACATTTGTATTACTTATAAATTGTAAATAACGCAACTCAATAAACATTTTATATTGACTTCATGATAGATGTTTAAAAATTTACTTTATAACATCAGTTGATTCACTTGAAAAGTTATTTATCAAAATATGCATTTAGTGAGCCAAAAGCTTGAAAGACTGGTCTTTTTGAGCTGTCGAGCCCGGGGGGTTTGTCAGACCCTAGTACTCCCCAAGCTCTTCCTAGTTTCTCATGAAAACAAGTAGATTCTATTATTAAATTTTCCCCCCCTAATATGCGTGTGGGTAGGGATTTAGAGTCTGTCCTTCACATGTCTGATAAGAGTTGTCAAAGAGCTCTAAGTGTATGATGATGATGTTTTATATCCTACTTTTGCAGATGAAAATGGAAACTATCCACCATTGAAGTTGAGGTAAGTTGTTTATATACTATACCGCGTGATCTTGTGATATGAATTTGGCTTGTACATTGTGTTGGTTCTTCAGTGATTTCTTACATACATAAATGGTGATTTGTACATCAAATCAGCCTTTCTCACTCTGTTGGACTGGATTGATGCTTTATCTTACGTGTCCGCGTTTGTGACATGTTGGATTATTTTGAATCTAACACAAATAAAGTAACAGAGACTGATTTATTATAATTAAATGTAACATAATTTGTAAATTCAAATGGTGTCACAAATAATTGAAGGACCAAACAATTACTTGAGCCATCTTTCAAGAATAAACTAGATAATCCACACTTCATCATAAGTTTAACGCGCCCTTTCTCAAGTCCTCTAACTCCAGCATCTATGTCTGTTATATCCATTTGCAGATCAGGTGATGATGAGGATACTGCACTGCTATATTCAAGTTCACAGCATATACATCATGAAAACACCAGTGCGTTATTAATATTATAGCATCCGATTTTGACATCGTTGTACCATTTCAAGTAGGAAATTCTGGGGGAACTATTGCTGCTATGGTTGGTGGAAGCATTTCTGGGACCTTGCTCTTGGGACTACTATATTTCGGGCTATGTAGAAGAAAGAGAGTGGAAGACGCATCCTTTTTCACAAATCCACTAGCATTTGAAGATAAGCATAATCAAATTGGACATGGTAAGTCAATCTATTACTATGCATAGATTCTACGTTGATCTCTTGGCATTGACAGATTATTTATGTGGTCAATTAGGAGACAAATAGTTAAAGAAGAAAGTGGGACTCAAATCTCATAGAAACAATTAGTTTTATGAGGCAGACTAGGCTTATGAATTTCTCACAGAAACAAGGAACAACTGAGGAAATGAAGAGCAGACACATGATGAAAACTCAAAACTACTGAGTTGACCTCCGGTAACTCAAATCCTTAATAAAAGTCAGACAAGAACAAAGCAAGATTGAGAAGCACATCGTGACACAACATCCATTTTTTCTCCTTTCTATTTTTATTCTAGAATCTGGACGTTATATTTAAGTTTTCATAGGTTGAAGTTGACGCGTTTGTCGGATTCAGGTTCTGGAAACTGCTCGGAGAAGCAACCAGAATTGGTTGGTGATGCTTCTCCTAGATTGAAAGGTATTACAGTGGACAAATCAGTGGAGTTCTCATATGAGGAGCTTGCTGAAGCTACTAATGGTTTTAGTATGGCCAATAAGATTGGACAAGGAGGCTTTGGATCTGTTTACTTTGCAGAACTTCGAAATGAGGTTTGTCATCACCAAAGATAGATTTGAAAATTTTTATTTTTGCTAAGGCTTACAATTTTTTTATAATACCTTTTCACATGAAAGCCCCACCATATTTTGTGCCTCACATTATGTATATTTTGTCAACTACGACATAAACTCAGAAGTTAACTAATTCTATTATATTACCTCCGGTCCTTAATATAAGATCTTGTTTGATTTTTATTTTGGTCCTAATTATAAAACCCCAATTCACTTTGTCTCTCATATTTATGCTTTTTTTCCCAAGGTAGTCCCTCTAACAATGGTAGTTCTAACTAATAAACTTGATTAGCAAGGATATTTTAAGAAAAACAACACGTATTTATTACAAATAACTAACTAAACTTATTTTCTTAATATCTTCAAATTAGTCAACTAGCTCTTATAATTAGGACCGGAGGTAGTAATTTCTAATAGTATGGGCTTAATTTGAAGATTAGAACTTGGATACAATTTTGGGGCTCCAGACGATCATTATATTCTGAGTACATGTCATTATCGTTCACAGCTTTTAAATATTTTGCTAACAATATGTTCAAATCTTCAATGCTATTCTCTGGTTCCATATTCAGGACCATTTTATGAGTCTGCTATAGGTCTAAGGCTGATCTTAAAATTGAAGCAGAAATTCTAATTAATAATTGCTAAACATTGACAATTTCCTGCAGAAAGTGGCGATTAAGAAGATGGATATGCAAGCAACAAAAGAATTCCTTACTGAACTGAAGTTTCTTACCCATGTCCATCACCTAAACTTGGTATGGTTTCCCCTCATGTTATCATCTTATCTTCATTTCTATCTATTTGTACAGATTTTTCCAGAACAGCTTGTGATGTTGTATAAGGGGTTAATAGCTATGCTATGGGGTAATTTATGATAAAAATTTGAATCCTCCAATAACGCTTCCGCAGCGCATCTTTTCTTCTCTCTCTACTTTTTATCGCGGCTATAAGCCAAAACGGTAAAACCAGACATTAAATCTACAGCTATTCTCTCTTCCTCTCTCTCATCTGGACCCCACTCAATGTAGAATGGATATTCTATGCCTAGAGTTCTAGTTGCTTGCCATGCCAAGGTACTTGATATTCGTTACCTAAACATCCACAATGATGATTCCTTGTATATATGCTCTTTGCAGGTACGTTTGATTGGATATTGCGTTAAGAACTCCTTATTTTTGGTCTATGAGTACATCGAGAATGGCAATCTAAGCCAACATTTACGTGGCTCAGGTAAAAATATGCGGCCTACTCTCTCACTCTTTTATGTTCACAGATATTTGAAATTCTATGGTATTAAATACATATCTGACGTTAGTATCAAGCACAATGTCATGATAATTTAAATTGCATTAAAACTTCTTGTCACATCATTGTGATCATATGTTGTCTTGCATTCTTGTCTCTGCTTCAAAAATGCTAGCTTCATTTTGACTTAAAGACCATTAATTTTGTTCCTTTTAGAGAGGGAGCCATTATCATGGCCAAGTAGAGTGCAAATAGCCTTGGATGCAGCAAGAGGACTTGCATACATCCACGAGCAAACAGTTCCTGTCTACATCCATGGAGACATTAAATCTCCAAACATATTAATTGACAAAAACTTTCGAGGAAAGGTTTGCGAATTCTGTTTCTTATTGAAGTTTTGATTAAATGTATAATGAAATTAGAAATTCTGAGGATAACATATTCACAGGTTGCAGATTTTGGTCAAACAAATTTGACAGAATATGGAAGTTCTTCAATGCCATCACATCTAGTGGGCACATTTGGCTACCTACCTCCAGAGGAGGAATTTGATTTACTTATCATTTTCTTAGTTTTGTTGATTAACCTTTTCAATAAGTTCTATATTTGATCTGTTAAGTCAAGGTGTTTGATTTGGGGACTGAAGTTCAATCAAGGATTTAAATGAACCCTTTTGGGCTTGCGATTTTCTTAGCTTTTTGAACCGACAGTTATGTTACCATACTCAGCCCGTATGATGTTTGTGTTGTTCCAGAGTGTTGATGCCTTGGTTCTGTACCACGATTTTTTTCTGTAGCATTTGTTTCTGTGATCTGCATGTGCTTATTTAGTAGAAACTGGAACAGTATCTTGGGGAACTTGGCTCTGAAGAGGCCTTTGCTTGATATTGGAAAGCTACATTGAGCATACACAGGGGGGTGCCATATATACTTTGCACACCAGTATTTTAAATTTTTATGAATTTCTTAGATTAAGTGTCGCATTGACTTCAATACAAACATCCCGTACCAAGAAGAAGCATATGAGCAGCTCCTTTTCTGTAAGCAAGTATCTCTGAAGCCTCTTGAAGACATGATTGGTGGTTCCCCCCTCCCCCCAACCCCTTGGCCACTGATTGGTAGGTGTTGAAAGCTCCTTCTTTTATTGTTATCGTCTTTTCTCAGCGACGCTCCCGTGATATTTTGTCTGCAAGTCTAGTTTGATTAATAGATATCAATTAGAAGAGATTTTCTTCTTTTCTAGCATAGTAGCACTGTGGAACAAGATAGTCCAGGACTAATTAAGTATGTCCATAATAGCAATAGTAACGTAAAGCTATAGCTTAGTGCGGCAGTTAAGTCTGCTTTCAAGGGAATAATTGCATTGGAATACAGACAAGTTGGACCAGACAGCATTCATGATGGCTTTTGATTAGGGTTGCAGATATAGCTACAGTAATTCTTTCCCGCTACAAAGAAAATGGGGTTATTGTGTCGGCCACCATAGCTTTTCTGCTTTACTGTGTATCCCCAATTATTACACTGAATTTCTAACAGAATAAAAGGGTGTACTGAAGTTATGGTTTTCAGTAATTGTTTTTGAGTGCTTTTTATCACTTTAACAACGTTCCAATCTCTTTAGTTTTTAATCAAAGTTGTTATTTATAATCTTTAACAATTTTGACCAAGATCAGCGTTGCTGTGCAGATATGCAAAATATGGCGACTTTTCCCTCAAAACAGATGTCTATGCATTCGGAGTTGTTCTCTACGAACTCATATCCGCAAAGGAAGCTATTGTGAAGACCAAAGAGCCTGCGAATGAATCAAAGGGACTGGTTGCCTTGGTTGTTTTTTCTGGCCTTCTTTTAGCTCTCTAAATAACAATAATAATGATGAGTCCCAGAATTATTCCCCCACAGTTATTCACTTAACTTTTACTTTTACTTTATGAAATGCAGTTTCAAGAGGTTCTGAATCAGCAAAATCCAGAAAAAGACCTTCGTGAACTTGTTGACCCCAGGCTCGGTGACAACTACCCTTTTGACTCGGTATACAAGGTGAAATGTTATGTCTATATGGTTAATATCTAAATTTTCATTCACAAAAGTGAAAAGTGAAGGCATATAGTGCACGTAAAACCTCCAAATTTATGAATGCATAAACCTGTAAGTACAAGTTTTATTTTGTTCACTGGTTTGGTTGTTGTGGGTTGCAGATGTGTCAGCTAGCGAAAGCTTGCACACAGGAAAATCCCCAAGTAAGGCCAAGCATGAGATCAATTGTAGTTGCACTGGTGGTTCTGTCGTCTCCAAGTGAGGACTTGTGCAGAGTAAGCTACTCATATTTTGACAGTTCTTGAAGATATACGAGACTTGAGTACAAAATTGTCTCCCTGTCTTAAGCTTCTACCTTATCCTACTTTCTGTGAACATGAAGAGACCTTTCTTTGCTTTTGTTTGAACCTAGAGGGGCTAGGACTCAAACCTGGAGACAATCCCAGTCCATAAGTGTCATGATAAGATTCAGTAATTTCCTAACAGTCAAGTTTATGGACTCTATCGACTGTGATTTTTTAATGGAAATTTCCATTTCTACCCATTTTCTGGACTACTTTCCTTTTGTCCTCTTTTTGATGGCATGTAGGGTAATGGGGACAAACTGATATGTTGTGGTCCAAATTGTGTCACATCAATTATTGGAAGTGTGTGTTCTTTATCTCTATCAATTTAGATTATAATTAAACTCCATGTACTATTATATTTGTATATGTAGTCTAATCTTAAATAGACTTTCAGGTCTCATGGTTAAAAAGAAAAAAAAGACTTTCAGGTCAAAAAAAAATCTTAAATACAGTGAATCTTCTGAGGCTAAATTTCATGTCTCATGCTCCATCTGTTGCCTTTTATGGCCCGGTCATGTATTGTGATGACAAGACAATATCATGCTAATATCTTCGTCATTTGGCATTTCTCCATAGGCGTACATCCTTCCAAGATAGTCAATTTTTAATACTTGTGTGCCGACAAAACTCTCATTTTTGGCATATTTCAACTGTTGATGTCAGTCATTTTTCTTTTAAAAAAAATTCTATCTTTTTATTCAAGGTATATGGATTTTATATCTATATATTTATATTCTATACTATATATAATATGATATTATCTTTAGTTCTATTTATAAGACCTTATTAAACGAGCTCTTATATTAACAAGGTCTTATAAATAGGACCAGAGATAGTAAGAATCAATTTCGATGTTCATGAGCACTATAGGGTTTAACCTTACAACGAGGTTTCTACTGTTTAAATACAATTTCAATGACTAATAATTTTTAACAAAAAAATCCTTTTTTAAAAACCTAACAGTGCAGTCATAAGCAGCACGGTATATTATATTTTTCTAGTATTTTACTTCTCTTTTTTAAAACTAATTTATTTTACTTATACACACAAATATATAACCTAATGTTATACATGATTATTTTAAAAACTTATTTATGGTTGAAGGTTGAGGTAGCAAGATTGGGAGATGGATTTATTCAATGAGGGTGATTTATCTAAAGATCCTCCTATTCTCAATGCATTGAGTGAAAATGGGGGTCACTTGGAAAACTAGCATTGTGTAGTGGCATAACAAATGAGGGCACATGATAAATTGAAGTTGATTGATCAGTATGTTTCTTGGAAATTAGTCCCATTCCATGTGTATGTGTTCCATTCCCTCCTTTCTTTGTGACAATGACTGCCACGTTCACTGACTACCGTACACATTACCACAAATCACAATTATCAATAAAGTAAATATTTTAAAAAATAACACAGACACGCAAATCAGTTATCTAAATTAAAAAAATAAGTCGTATTCATCAAATCTCATCGTTATTCACAAGTCATTCATTTTAAAAATTAAAGGAAAAAGATATTGGCGAATTTTGGAAGCTAGGATTTGGACGTGAATTACAACTCGTTTCCCAAATGATAAGGACATGTTGAATTTCCTTTTTTGGCCAAAAATAAGGACATGTTGAATTGACTTGTTCTTTGATTAAAGCTAATCCTCATTTTTATTGGGTCAACTATGCTTCTTATTTTGAAAATAAATATTTCACATTAATTTGGGTTTTTTTTAAATAAACATTATATTGAGTGTGCTTTTTGAAGCTGCAAGTTATCTTTGGGTGCAAGGAATATTTAATATGGAAGTTAGTTATTATAGGTTTTAAGTAGGACGCGTGGATATTTGTTAATGTAAATGCTTCCTTTGATTCTAGTCTAAAGATCAAGCCACTTTCTCATTACCTGTTGAATTGATGTATAACCTAACAAATTAATGTTGGAATTAGAAGTATCCAGACATATCTGGTATCCGAAAAAATATTGAATAGGTCTCTAATAAAAAAAATATTTGTTCTAAATTAAAAATAATAAAAATATAATTTTATTTTGGATCTTAGTATTTCTTAATCTAAGAGATTATGAGTAAAACTGCATTATGAAAAAATTATGAATAAAATTTTGCATGAGCAAAATTGGACTTTTATTCAATTGAAAAAGTCTTTGGGACAAAAAAAAGAAAAGCCTGTCATACTTTGGCAATGCGGTAGGAATTATCCTTCAAGCCGACGCTTGGAGTCAGGTCCAAAAAAAAAAAAAGCCAACGCATGGAGGAAATAAGAAAGGCTCTTTGAAAACAACGAAAACGGTAGGATGGATTCGGTAGTTCCACACTTATCTTAAGTCCACGTGGCTCTCTCCTACGGAGCCCACGCATTTATCCCACGCCCACTACGCCATTCCTGTCGCCAGCTCATCCTTCTGACATTTCCCTCTCTCTCATTATACCATTGGTCGTTCTCCTCACGCGCCCCCTCCGCGTACACCTAACCTCACCCAATCTCAGTCCGAAGGAAATCCTAGTTGTACCTTTCAATTCTGTAACCGCAAAATAAGTAGCCGTTGTATGACTCCGCGTTGCAATTTGCCGACACAAAATTATTTTATTTCGCCCACTAAGTGCGAGTTCCCGATAAGATGTTTCGTGATATTTTATTTTATATAAAAAAAAAATCTGATTTTCGTTAATAATTAAAGATTTTATAAACTTCAGACGAGAGCTCATAGGCCGCAAAAGGAAAGGGAAACCTCTAGTCCCTACACACCCAACCGAAGGCCTATACATCGATCTACTTCACTCACACTGTTGGTGTGCCTCACCTGCCGGAAATCGAAGAGCCAACGCTGCTTTTGTTCTTTTCTTTCTCTGAATCCTCTCATACCCACGACCTTTTCTCATTTCTTATTAATTTCTCTTTCTGGAAAGAGTTGTCTTCAATTACTTGGTTTCTCAACGAGGAAAAGGCTGACAGTAGCGTGTGTTCTACGTCCATTTCACTGGAAAGAGGGGTTCGAATCTTATTGCTTAGTTCGCTTTCGAAGATATCCTATCTCTTTTCCGTTAAAATGGATTTATATTGAGCTTCGGTTTTCTGTCATTGAAGGATTATTTATGTGCCTGGGATTTCATTTCTGCGGCGAAATTGTGAGTAACACGCTTAAATCACGAGCCTTTCTCTTTTTGCCCTTTGTTTGTCCGCTGCTGATGGCTTCTTTGGATGTTTTGGCGACTTCTGTTGTTGAAAATCTTATGGGATTGATTTTCGGTGTTAATGATTTATGCTTCTTTCTCTGAAAAATTGGAACTTTATGGTTTTCTCTGGCTCGATTCAAGCTACTTGATAGCAGGTTTGGGAGAGCTTACTGCTCAGTTCTGTTTGATTTTGAGTTGCGGTTGAACTGCGTAAAAACTCGCTTTGTATATTCCAGACAAACTTTTTTATCTCGCTTTGGGAGTTTGTTCTTTCTTCAAGATTACGGCAATCAGAAAGCTGTTTGTTACATAATTTGGTGTCTCGTTTCTTCTTCTCTTAACTTATATCTGGGTTTGGCTTCTGAGAGTGCGAAAGTGCCTCAAAGAACGTAATTTGCAATGTGTAACTGAAAATCTCTAATTCTTCTCGAAATCAAGTTATGCGTGTACATTACATTGTTTAAGTGCTGCTGTTTGTTTTCATGCTTAACATTAATATTAAATCTTACTGGAAAGACATGATCTTCTTGTTGTTCAAATTTCCTGCGTATGACTGCAACCCTCTTTATTCATTTCTCCTCCATCGCTTTGCAGGAATAAGTACTTTCTAGAAGAATAAATGGCTACACTAGCAGATATCGGGCTTGCAGCTGCCATCAATATTCTCAGTGCTTTCATTTTTCTTGTGGCATTTGCCATTTTGAGGCTTCAACCCTTCAATGACAGGGTTTACTTTCCAAAATGGTATTTGAAAGGTTTAAGAACGGATCCTGTACACGGAGGAGCATTTGTGCGGAAGTTTGTCAATTTGGACTGGAAATCATATATTCGGTTTCTGAATTGGATGCCAGAAGCACTTAAGATGCCAGAACCTGAGCTTGTTGAACACGCTGGATTGGACTCCGCTGTGTACCTGCGGATTTATTTAATAGGGTATGCAATGAATCATTATCAATGCATCATCAAGGCATATTTATGATATTATAGAAATTACTCAAAAGGGCTAGCTTTCTTGGTAAGAGGGGAGATTGTGTCTCTTTTTATTAAGTTGGATTCAGTTATTCTGGCGTAAAATTCCAAGTGCGCCAACCAACTAAGCTGATGTGCGGAGTGCACCTTTAACAATTAAATGTGTTGGATTGCACCAGGGCATAGGGATACCACTGATCCTATAAAGAATTTTTTTTTTTTTTTATAAAAAAAGTAGCTGCTAATTGTACTTTCTCTTTTGGTGCAGGCTTAAAATCTTTGTTCCTATAGCATTTCTAGCATGGGCTGTGCTAGTTCCTGTCAACTTTACAAGTTCCGGCCTAGAAGGAGCCAAGATAACCAACGTAACTTCTAGCGACATTGATAAACTCTCAATTTCAAACGTCCATGAAAGATCTGACAGGTTTCAGACTCCCCATTCTGTGTTATTGCATTCTTTTCTACTTCGTGACATCATTTAATAAGATGGGGACTTTAGTGATTCCGATCTTCGCATGTTGTCTCACTCAGTTGTTGAAGTTACTGAGTTACTCTCATGGTTCATATTAATATGTGAACCAATTAATATGAGATTTTGGTTCGCGCACGCACGTAATCTTAAACCACTTATGAAAGTTGTGCTGTAATAAGATTTTTCTTTTTCGCTCTATTTCAGGTTGTGGGGGCACATAATTGTTGCTTATGCCTTTACTTTTTGGACATGTTATGTTTTGCTCAAGGAATATGAGAAAGTGGCCATTATGAGATTGCAATTTCTTGCAGCAGAAAAACGTCGGCCTGATCAATTTACGGTAAACTTGGCTATTCGTTCAAATTAAACACTGAGGAATAATTTTCGACTATAATAATTGAATTATCTTCATGTTCATGCTTGACAAATCCAATGAATTTAGGGTTATAGACCAAATTGCTGTAAGCTAAGACTCAGATAGCCGTAGCACTAGAGATACTTTTTGTTATATGGATTTTTCTCATAGATACATTATTCTCCTCAGGTGCTCGTAAGAAATATTCCTCCAGACCCAGATGAATCTGTCGGTGAGCTTGTTGAACACTTTTTTCTGGTCAATCATCCAGATCACTATCTTACTAACCAGGTCAGTTCCTGCTTTAAACTTTTGTGTTTCTAGGATTCTAAGTGTGTGCTTGGTTTTTATTTTCGCAAAAGTCTCTGTCAAAAGTCAATTTGGACAAAATTCATTTGTCAAACGTCCATTTATGTTTGGATACATTTTTTCCAAAAGGGTTTATATATAATGAAAGCATTTCTTAATGTATAATTACTAAAAGGACGATTTTTATGACATGTAAATATAATATATGATAAAAGAATGCATAAATAATATAATATTTGATGTGTTGAATAATAAAAATAAAAGATATAAATAATAATGTGAAGTTTGATGTGTTGAACAAACTTGTATATGTCATTATTAATAAATTTGTATTTCTAATGGAAATGATTGAAAAATTCGAAATCGCAAAATGAGATTGGGATAATATATAAAAAAATATTTTACTAAATTAATCATCTTTATTAATATTATGTGAAGTTTGACGCAGGGCCTTAACATATAAAAGAATAAATGTATGGCTTGGCTTGGGTAACATGGGAATCTGTCATAATTAATGTTCCAACTCCCACATTTCAAAAGTTAAAAGCTAACCATGCCACTGCGCATTAAGTAGCAGTGAGTTGTTTCTATTTGAAGTTTCATCTTTTGTTGCAAGGCACGGCTATCTTATGGCCTCAACGTGCTTTGCTTCCATGCATAGCACGTGAATTGAATTCCAGTTTACAATTTGATTGATATGATGTATTCTAAAGATAGAGTATAACGACACTATTTCCTCTTTTTTAGTCCTGTCTTTAACCAGTATTGTTTTTAAGATGGATCTGGTTTATCATTGCTCACCAAGATCATTCATTAATGTGGTGAGGAAAAAGCACATTTCTTGACTTCTTATTGAATCACTATACAGGTTGTAATTAATGCAAACAAACTTGCTAAGCTGGTTAAGAAGAAGAAAAAGTTGCAGAATTGGCTCGTCTATTATCAAAATAAATTTGAAAGAACTTCAAAGAGACCTGAAATGAAGGTACTTAAGTTTCATCTGATGTGCACTCAAGTATGCCCTTGTTATGCTGTATTTAAGTTGCTGCAAAGCTCATCCTCTTATTTGTCTTTACCAGACTGCTTTTCTTGGTCTATGGGGGAAAAAAGTGGATGCTATTGATCATCACCAAACTGAAATTCAGAAGCTGTCAAAAGAAGTAAGCACCTGTATCCAATTACTGACTTGGAAATTTTATTCCCTCCCCCATGATTGTAGTTTTATGAAAAGATGAAACAATGTGGTGCCTGTGAATCAAATGGCAAATTTGTAAACTCAATATCGTAGTAGATTTTGGCATCTTGAATTTGTCAAGCATCCTGGCTTTTATCCTGAATTCACTAGTCTTATATGGTAACTTTTCTTCATTTATCATTGCAGAAGATAGTTGCTCTGATTGTTTACTAGGGCTTTGTACTCAGATAGATCTTTTGGGAATTTCTCTAATGAAAAATTTAATTTGGATCTATTTTTATTTTATATTACGTATTTTTAATGTGATCTCGTAGTAACTCAAACTGGTCACTTCTTGCAGATAGCTTTAGAGAGGGAAAGGGTTACAACCGATCCCAAGTGTACTATGCCTGCTGCTTTTGTTTCCTTCAAAAGCCGATGGGGTGCTGCTGTCTGTGCCCAGACTCAACAAACCAGGAATCCAACCCTTTGGTTGACTGAGTGGGCTCCAGAGCCAAGAGATGCTTATTGGCCAAACTTGGCAATTCCATATGTTTCTCTCACTGTCAGGAGGTTAATCATAGCTGTTGCATTCTTTTTCCTCACTTTCTTTTTTATGATCCCCATTGCATTTGTACAATCGCTGGCAAGTATCGAGGGAATCCAGAAAGCAGCACCATGGCTGAAGCCACTTATCGATGTGTGAGTTCATGTCATTGTTGGACTTCTTGAATCCAGTGTTTATCTTAAATATTGGAAGATAACCTATCTGAACTCATGCTATGGTGCAGCAAATTTATCAAGTCATTCATTCAAGGATTTCTTCCTGGTCTTGCTTTGAAGCTCTTTCTCATTTTCTTGCCATCAATTCTGATGATTATGTCAAAATTTGAAGGCTTTTCATCGTTGTCATCTCTGGAGAGAAGATCAGCTTCTAGATACTATATTTTCAATTTCATCAACGTGTTTCTTGGGAGCATACTCACAGGATCAGCATTTGAGCAGCTGCAGTCTTTTATTCACCAACCAGCTAATCAGTATGTTATTTGAAATCAAATTCAGTATTCTTTTTCATATTTTGAATTATTTACTCTATTGGTTCCTAGATTTTTGCTTGGTTACTAACTTGGTCCTTTAATTTAATTTTTTGCAAATTAGGTCCTTTTAGTTTTAATTATTTTTTTATTGGTTGTTGCCATTAAACTTGTGCTGGTGTGACCTTAAACTTCGCTGACATGCGCATCAAGTATCGTTTTAATATGGAATAATCACGGCTATTATCCAAAAAGAAATGGAATAATCATACCAAACTCACCCTAAGTTCCCGTAAATGTGAGTGGATTTCACCCAATCTACTATTTTCCTTTTGTTGGCAGGAATTATGTAACGTTTAAAGTTTCGGGCTTAGGGTTTATGATGTAACATTTAAAGTCTGGATGTGACATGTTGGCTGGCCTTGTAAATTTCATTTTTCTTCTAGTTGGCAAGAAAGGTATTTGTGTTGGGGTCATATTCACACTGTTGTGCGATAAGTTTGCGCATGTAATTTGTGTATGGAAGGGAAAATATTTTAGTTTAATTTCTGGTTATGCTTCAGCTAATCAAGATCCTTACCGTTGTTTTTTTTTTTATTTTTTTGGTGGAAAATTTATCTGTTGACTTGATTGATCAAACCCTCATCCCTCATCTCAATTATTTATCATGTTGATGAGACTAAGCATTTTTTTGTAATATTTTTTGGCAGATATCCTATAACAATTGGCACGGCAATTCCTTTGAAAGCAACTTTCTTCATTACTTATATAATGGTTGATGGATGGGCCGGCATAGCTGCAGAGATTTTGATGTTGAAACCACTTATAATTTATCACTTGAAGAATTTCTTCTTGGTTAAGACTGAAAAGGATAGGGATGAGGCCATGGATGCTGGGAGTATTGGTTTCAACACGGGAGAACCTCGTATTCAATTGTACTTTCTGCTGGGTCTGGTCTATGCTTCAGTGACACCTGCTGTTCTCCCTTTCATAATAGTTTTCTTTGGGCTGGCTTATGTTGTGTTTCGTCATCAGGTACAAATTTGTTGACCCATAATATAAAATTCTAGGATAACTCGAGTTTATGTTCATGGATACATTTCTTGTGCCGCCAATCATGATATGATATGTTGTAATACACAAAACTTGCATGGGAAAAGTGATGGGTACGTAGGTGGGATGGGGAACATTATCCCAAAAGCTAACTGTTGAGATGGAACCTACTTGAAAGTTTCATTGATTATCCCATCAATTGTCCTCCCGTGGAAAGTTGACATCTCAACAGCTACATTCCCTCTTGGCCTCTTGCCGATCCAAACCCTTTATGGATAACCCTCTTTGAAACTGCCAACAACCTGATGGGTACTTAGGAGACCTAACTCACTTAAATACCTCATTGAATATCTTATCCTACTCAACTTAACACCCCATACTATCCAGTTTCCATTAGAAAGATACTTTCTCGTCAGTATCTCAATCTTCTTTTGTTAGTGGGCCAAAATGATTCTTTTTGGACTGTACCTTTTTGGGTTGCTGTGTTTCAGGCATCTATCATAAACCATAGTTTTTCGCTTTCTTTTTGGATCTCCAAGTGCATGTTTATCAAGACTATAATGTATTTCTACAAGTTATTATATTATCTGCTGTTTGATTCATACAAGATAAATCTTCCTATTGCAGATCATTAACGTGTATAATCAGGAATATGAGAGTGGGGCGGCATTCTGGCCTGACGTTCATTTTCGTGTTGTGATAGCACTGATATTTTCCCAGATGGTTTTGTTAGGACTCATGAGCACCAAAAAAGCTGCTTCATCAACGCCATTTCTCATTGCACTCCCAATACTTACCATATGGTTCCATAGGTACTGCAAAGGCCGTTTCGAACCTGCCTTTGTTAGATATCCCTTGCAGGTATGTGTGTCAACACTTTGAAGTTCCAAGTAGCTTTATTCTTTAGCTTAAGGCCAGCATGGACGGCAAACTGGTGAAATTCAGACCAAGAGGGCCAAAAAAAAAAAAAAGTTGCTTTGTCATTCTGATATGGCTTAAGTTTGCAAATGTGTATTTGTATCATCTTTTTATATTGTCCCCTTAATCTGTTACCGAGAAATCAAACATTGGCAACATTTTTATGGGCTTACAGGAAGCAATGATGAAGGATACACTGGAAAAGGCGACTGATCCTAACCTGAACTTGAAAGGTTACCTTCAGCATGCCTATATTCATCCAGTTTTGAAGGCCAGCACCGAGAATGATAGTTCTGATGATGAGGAGATGCTCAGTGAGAAGTGGGAAACCGAGAGCGCGCTTGTGCCCACGAAGCGCCAGTCCAGGAGGAACACACCATTGCCAAGCAAAATGAGTGGGGTCTCCTCTCCACGGTCTCTTCCTGATGGCGTCCAACATCAGCCGGAGCCTTAAATGGAGCATCAGTTGGTGGAGCAAGGTACCAGCAATGTGGCTGTAAATTTGATGTTCTCATCATCATCATTGGCCCAGACAGATTACGATCTTACTGGGCAGCTGAAGTCCTTAATCTGTGGGAAAATTTGGTGAATTTCGCTCCTGCCTTGAAAGGCTAGTTTTGTGTACTTGCTTGTTGATGAGATTTACCACGTCTAGAGGCTTTTAAAGGAGAGATTCCTATATCAGATTGTATTGACTAGTGGTATATAATATAATAAAGTGAATGCTGTAAATTATCCAAAAACAGAGCATATAAGGTTAAAAAAGAGAGCTTGATTTTATCTATCTACCTGACAAGTGTGAGTAGAGTTGATATGGGTATAGAAGTGGGATGACTCATAAATTCACCATATTGAAATTTTGAGTTAAGATGTATGTCGAGCTCATTCATTTCTTCCCGGATGACGGCTTACTTGGATTCTTTTTCCCTTTCATTTCTCAATGAATGATGTCAGAATCTTGATTACACGCTACATCATTTAAAGCCTCACTCAATTTGTGTTTGTCTTGATTCAGAGACACTGCTACATAATTTGAAGCCCAAAAATAAGTTGGCTCTCCCTCCTCCTTTTTTTTTTCCCCCCCAAAAGGGTAACCATGCGTATCTTTCAATGGAAGGTGATTTTGTTCGTCGTTGGCACTTTGTTTTTCAACAAGAACTTTTGTGTGAAAAATGGAAAAAGCCTTATGGCAGAGCTTGCCTAAACTATTTTATTATTAAAAAAAAATTGAAAGAAGTCCACATTAAAAATCCTTGCATTATAAGCCATTGAAAGCCTGTGCACCATTTAGATTAAACTAGAAACTTGCATGTGTTTGTCTATTCGCCCTATATCAAACAATTTTTTTGGTTAATGGGTTCCATATCAAGCAATTGGAGTGGCTATTGTGTGAAATTTTTAGCACGGGAGAGAGAGAGCTTGTGGCGTCAATTTTGAACTTGGTATTGTTAGGATAGATTGAATATTTGATGGAAGGATTTATGAATTCATAGATGTTGTGTCTAACTCAATTTATAATGTGTATTGGCTTCTTAGAAGTGTTGAGTATGTGAGAATTTTGCCTCAACTTAAGTGAAACACTATTGGTGAGTTGAAAAACTATTTTGGGGATTTTTTTAAAAATATTTTTTGCAGCTGTTTTATTTTGGCCTACATGAAAGGTTTAGTAAAAAATTGTCCAATTTTTTATACTGTCTGCTTGCATTTCAAAAGTGGAATAATTATGGCTTGTTTAAAATGACTTATAAACAGCTTTTCAATTGTGATTTATAAAATACAAGATAAATATATGATAAGAGTTTTATCTCGACTTATATAATAGTGTTTAAACACTTTCGAACGTAATTCCAAACGGGCTTTAAAACTGTGAAGGATTTCTCCAAAAAAATATGTATGATTCATGATATATAAAATGGTTTGTCATAAATTTATAAATTTATGATTGTGCTTGTAAGTTGCTTCCTTTGCGTTTTACATAGGTTAAGAAAGTAAGCTAATATGTCAACAGTTTGCATTATATCAACGCGATTCATGAAATTATTAAAAAATTTAAAAAAAAAAGTGGAAAAACATTGCTAAAACATAGGCATTAAATGGTATTTTCGCTTGACTATAACAAGATACTGTTTCCAAAAATTTATTCGAAAATTAGGGGAGTTTGGTTTATCCCAAAAAAAAAACCTAAAAAAAAAAATCATTCAAGGAAAAAATACTTTAAAAAAATGTTTTTATACAGGTGAGGACAAAACTTTCCCCTCCTTCTTACTTACTTCAGGTGCTTGGTCCATGTCAGTAAAATTACCTTTAAAAAACTATGGTTCTTAGACGGTGAATGAGAAGAGACTAAAAAAAGGAGATACTAACATTAATACTGACACTGATTGGTGGAATGGAAAAGCTTGAGACTGTTCATGTTAGACATTGACGCGCACGGGTCTGCGTTTCTGACTGCTTCGGCTTTCAGATTTCACTAACCTGCTTTAACCTCCCCTCGTCCGATTGAGAAGCCTCCACGCGATTTCCCAAACTGAGTGCACGCTACCATTTCTTTATTTATTTATTTTAAGGTTTAAGATATAGTTTTATTATAGACAAAACCCATCCAATTACTTCATCAAATTTTAAAAAATTATCATATTCATAATTTAAAATAATATATATTTATAAATATAATGTAATAATTTATATTTACAAGTTAAGGAAAGGATATGGAAGTGAGCTTATAATTTTCTTTTCTTTTTAGGACCTGTAGATGATTTTTTTTTTAAACGTTTTCTCCGAAACATTCATTAGGTTTGACTCACATGTTCAAATAAAGTGACTTTTTTTCCCCACTTTAGTGGCACTAACCCCTTTTTCGAAAGGAGGCAGCACAGCGTGTTTGTACGTTAATACACCCCACACACACACACGTGCGACCTCTTCATTTAATTCCCAACAAAAAAGCTGACTTTTTTAATAATAAATGTTGATAGAATTTTTATAATATATATTTGGACATTCATAATTTATAAAATTGCTGCTCAATTTTTATATAAGACGTCTTTTATGAAGTTTTTTTTCTCCTCTCTCTCTAATACACTTGACAGATTTAACTTTTAAGGAGCAATAAATGTTTATTTTATTGGAGTCATTAAATTGAGCTGAATCTATTTGACTGTCTTGTTTAAACCCGTTTGAGTGAAAGTTTAGATTTGTATTTTAAAGAGTTTAAAACAAATTTGAGCGCAAAAGGTTAGCTCATTGTGATGCAAAAATAAAAAGATCACTCTATTTAAACCGTCTACTTTTTTATTATTTAAATTCAGTGAATTGTTAAGATAACCTATCACTATTATTTTTTAATCAATACTACTTGCTGATAATACAATGCTACGTAAGCCTCTCGGTTACAAAAACACATAGGGCATATCTTTGGTTTACCTATATTTTCATGAAAGCCAATCAACTTACATAAGTCGGCATATCTAAGGATTGGACATTAATAACATAGTGGTTTTTTTTTTTTTGAGTTACAAGAAGGCGGGTTTGAACCCGTAACACACACACCACACACGCACACATACCCCCAAATGGTCAGTGATACAAAGTAATTTTATGATATATAGCATTTTTCGGTTCAACATTTTTGGCCTTGATTTGTCAAAAGTAGGCTGACCAACCTGTTTTAACAGCTTTATGCTTAATAAGAATAATGATAGATAATAAAAATTGTTTTCTCTATTTTTTATAAGATGTAATCAACTGAGTTATGCAAACTGAAAATGCTGATTAAAATTGATTAAAAAAACAAATGAGTAAAAAAATAATTTATTTTCTAAAGTCATCTCAGTTTATGAAGAAGTAATTTAGAGAACAAGTGAAAAAATAAAAATAAAAGAGAAAAAGAGATAAAAGAGATATATAATTAATTCAAGATAAAAATAAAAAAAATGCATTGAGCGTTTAGATTTTAAATGTCTCTAAAATGTAACATATATTCGATGCTATTGATAAAATAATATTGAAAATCATTTTAATTGTACAACAAATTGAATACTTTTTATTGTTTTCATTAATATCCGATTTTAATATAAATGACTTATAACACTTGCGTACTTTTTAATTTTATCCTAATTAAAATTTTTTCTTTTTATAATTATAAATCTTTCTTGTATCTTTTACGTAAAATTTAAAAAAATATTAAAAATATTGCAAGAAACTTATGGTTAGCATTAAAATTGTTCCAACTTAAATTTAACAACTGAGTGGTAGATCAATTAGTTAAAAATGTCAATAAAGGAGAATTATCATGAGATCCTAAAAAAAATTTAATTATCAAAAAAATCCTAATGACAAGTGATCAACTTGATCTTATTATTATTTTTTATTTTGAAATTTATCATTACATACTCTTCATTTATCAATAAATTTTAGAATAATTAAATCTTTTCTATTGTAATAAAAACTGATTTTCAATATATTTAAATTCCGGCTGGGTCAGTAAATCCTCACCACCCTTCGACTTTCGACCAAACAGCACCATTCAATTTATCCCCCAGGCAATCACCAACCATTTACTAATTATCCTAATCTGTTTTTTCGATTACTAATTACCCTAATCTGCATATTAAAAAATAAAAAATAATATTAGCAAGAATTTATGTGCTGTATATCGTTTTAAATATCAAAGATATTATACATCCAAGTCAAATTAAGACTTCAATGTGGGGCGATCGTATCAGAATCTTATCATAATTTCAAATTAATATCTCACTCTACATTCTTTACCCAAACCAATATCAGCTAATATTTAATGTCAATTTAAATATCTGACTATAATTTCAATTAAAATCTTAGAAACACGAGTAAGCGCGGAAGAGGGGCGTGATTCACCAAACCATCAAACAGCGCGTGGTCCTACTTTTCTCAGCATAACTTTCCTGTTTTGATTTAATTTTAGGGGAAAAAAGATAAAATTTGTGATCTTTCATCTGTGCCTCTTTGGATTGAGTGAAGACTGAAGACTGAAGACTGGCATGACAGAGATAATCGTGTACTAGTACCAATCTGTTTGATATACTTTATTTTTAATTTTTGAGTGACATTTTATTTTGGAGAAATTGTAAAAAAAGACCTTAGAATTGCAAAAACGCAGATAGGGACCTTGACAACTTCACTTTGGGTTTTGACACTGAAGTTGTCAAAACCCAAAATGAAGTTGTCAAGGGTCCCTATCTGCGTTTTTGCAATTCCAAGGTCTTTTTTTACAATTTTCCCTTTTATTTTGCTTTACGATATTTTATTTTGTTTGATATACTTTATTTTTAATATTAAATCGTCTTGTTTTACGAAAAAATACCAAACACTCATATGATAATTATAATATCATTTTTTTTTTTATCTTGTATCCTCATCAAATTAAAAATATTTCCCTGTTCCAAATTAAAAAATAAAAACAAGCTGTGTTGATCTCATCGCACGGGATAAATGGTAAACCGAGCTATTAAAAAAAAAGGGGGCGGGGAATAAGCTTCTTAATTTACGCCTGTTTCACGAACACCGAGAAGGTAAGTTCTTTGGAAATTACCCGTTTCCTGTTTTCATCATGTCCTACCCACAGATTTAAAGCCGTCCCTAAGGTTGCATCCGACTTCATTTTTCAGTAAAATTTTATTTTCAATTTTTAATTCCCTGTAAGTTGCGTGGTCTTTATCTGGATTCTTTGCTTCCTCTGTTTCGCTTTTACTTGCCGTTCAGCAACAGGTTGATGCCTGAAGCGAGGACGACGTTAGTTTCGAATGTTGTTCCTTTTTGTGGAATGCAAAATGCGATTCCTGTTATTGTTCTATCCATTACGGTCAATTTTCTTTGGGGGTCATCGTGTAAACCTGTGATGCTTGGTTGATTTGCCGAGCGTGTTCATTGATCATTGACTTGCGTGGGTAATGGTCTGAATCTTGTTCTTGATCTCGAGCGTGGTAATGGTATCGTCCCTGCATTTTCTTTTGTTTTTTATTTTTTTCGTATAAACCAATGTTGTTGGGTTGACTTACCCAACCGGTTTGCTTTTTGGACTGAACTGAAGCGCATCAGACATTCGAAAGAACGTTTTGTTTGATCTTATACTCTGGGTTTATTCTTTTCATGCGATATTGCGGTTTTTCAGAAAATTGCTTTCTTGATTAGCGTGTCACTGATAGTAATTGTTGCTCAGGTTTAAGCTATACTAGAGCGCGGTGAGAATGGAGGTGTTCTGCTCAAATGTTTTTGAGGTTTCAAGGAGGAGAAAGGTTCAAGAGAGTCACAAGTATACTCCAACCTCTGCAGAGGAAGGAGACATTCTATGTTCCTCAAAGAGGAGGTCTAATTTTCCGTGCGAGAGAGGGGATCAACCAAAGAAGTCTGTCGCTTCGTCGAAAAGGAAAAGAAATTTGCAAAATGATTTTTTGGTCAATAATTTGGAAGATGATGAGGAAACCGTGGTTGCCAAGATAAGGTCCAGGAGAAGAACTCATAAAATGGAGGCCGGGATGGATAAAATAGGCTCAGAATCAAGTGGAGAGAGTTCATCCTCGAGCATTACCGTATCGCATTCTCCACCAGCATCCACGTTGCCTACTTCGGATTCAAGAGACCATATAAAGGACGATTACATTGCAACAAGTTGGAGGGTAATCGCCCTTCTCAATTCATATTTCTTAAGGAAAAGACTTAAGTCGCAGCTTTTAGGCCTTCACTGCTAAGGAGTCAATCCTCTGCTGCAACGCGTGATTATACTTTTATTAGAGAGGAACTTACCTGTGTACTGTTCATTACCTCTTAAGCTGACGAATGCTAAACTTATTATGTTAAACAGGACACTAAGCGAAGTCGCTGGATATGTCATCAATGCATGAAAAGGGATAGACTAAGCTATGTCCCTTGCACCAAATGTGAACAGAAATTGTACTGTGATAAGTGCATCAAGCAATGGTGAGTTATTTTACATCTACACAATTTCACCTGTTAGTAGTTGAATTTATTTGTTCTTTTAATTTATAAGGCGTCTTTACAATAATTTAACCATGTTTACCATTTATGCACGTAGGTATCCTGATATGACAGTAGCAGAAATTGCTGAGCGTTGCCCATTTTGCCGTAAAACTTGCAATTGTAATGCCTGCTTGCGCTCAAGTGGGATGATTAAGGTTTGACTTACTATGTTATCCTGTGGAAAATTTTGCCGCTTTCTTTAATGAATATTAGATTACTGGTTCAATTTTCTTATTTTGTCATCCAACTGCCAGACATCTACAAGGGATATCTCTGACAATGAGAAGTTTCAGCGTCTGCAATATTGCATCAACTTAGTTCGTCCGTTTCTGAGACAAATTTGCGAAGAACAAGCTCTTGAGGAAGAGATTGAAGCCAGTATACAAGGTATCGTGGGTGGTAATATTTTCTTCAAGACTTCATAAAAAATAACCTTTCGTATGGGGGGGGGGGAGGAAAAGAAGAAACTGTTTTATGTTTTTGTTAAAATTCAGCTTTGGGTTTGCTTTTAACTTCCAAAACATCAGTAACGATAAACTCTTGTCAGGGACATCACGTTCTGAGATTAAGATACTGCAAACTCCTTGCAGTGATGATGAACGTGTCTATTGGTAAGTTTTTTATTTTTAATTCATCTCACATAAATCCATTTTATTTTCGTCAAGGTTGTTTAATTTACCCTCTTGATCCTGGAGCAGCAACCATTGTGCTACTTCAATTGTTGACCTTCACCGAAGCTGCCCTGAGTGTTCCTATGAACTGTGCCTCCAATGTTGCCAAGAAGTTCGCAATGGAACTATTTTGCCTAGAGCTGAAATGAGGTTTCAGTATGTGAATAAGGGTTATGATTATATGCATGGTGGTGATCCTCTGCCAGAGTCTTCTGATTCCAAGACCTCAGATGATCCTTGTATTGAGCAATCTATTGAGTGGACTGCAGAAGGCACTGGAAGTGTTTTTTGTGCCCCAAAGGAGTTTGGGGGGTGTGGAAACTGTTTGCTGGAGCTCAAGCATATTCTTCCACGGGGCTGGATATCTGAACTGGAAGCTAAAGCTGGTGATTTGTTGAGAAAATGCGTGACTGTACAAACTTTTCTGAAGCACAAAGAAACAGCAGCATCAAGCTGCAACTACTCTGTGAGAAGAGCTGCTTCTAGAGAAGACAATTATGACAACGACATATACTGCCCTTCTTCAAGGGAGACTATCAATGAGGGGCTATCAATCTTTCAAAGGCATTGGATTAATGGCGAACCTGTCATAGTTCGTGATGTTCTTCAACAAGCAACAGGTTTGAGCTGGGAGCCCATGGTTATTTGGAGGGCAGTATGTGCGGCTTCAGATTCAAAAACCAACCCAAAAATGTCAGAGGTTAAGACTATTGATTGTCTCGCTGGTTGTGAGGTAAATTTCCAGTATCTTCTTTTCTGGTGCTTTGTTTGATCACTTCACTAATGACAATGTCTAATCTATTTTGTATAAATCTATAATGCAATGTCAATTTTCTTGTGCTTTGGATTCCACATGTCTGGGAGCTTCCTATTTTCTGACGTGTGGTATAGTTTTCTGCATGATTGACCTATACTGGTTCTTTCAAATACTGCAGGTAGAAATCAGCACTCATAAGTTCTTTAAAGGTTATATGGAAGGAAGAACATATAGAAATCTTTGGCCAGAGATGCTAAAGCTAAAAGACTGGCCTCCCTCTGATAAGTTTGAAGATCTTTTGCCTCGCCATTGTGATGAATTTATCTGTTCCTTGCCATTCCAAGAATACACTGATCCTCGGGCTGGTATTCTCAATCTTGCTGTTAAGTTGCCAATGCATGTCTTGAAACCTGACATGGGTCCAAAAACATATATTGCGTATGGAATAAAAGAAGAACTTGGCAGAGGAGATTCCGTAACAAAGCTTCATTGTGACATGTCAGATGCGGTATGTTTCTCCAGTGTTGTTTATAATGCAAATACTATGATTCTTGTTCTTAAATATATTAATTTTAGTGTTGTATAATAATTTCACAGGTGAATATTTTGACTCATACAGCAGAAGTAAAGTTAAATGATGAGCAAATCTTGTCTATTTCAAAGTTGAAAAGAGCACATAAGGTTCAAGATCAAAAAGAGAAGTGCTGTGCTGAAATCGATGGAAATGTCTCTCCAAATAGCACATTTCTTGATGTCACTGCAGAAAATGAAACAAGAGAAGCAGGTGCTGCTCTCTGGGACATTTTCAGAAGAGAAGATACTGAGAAGTTAGAAACATATTTAAGAAAACACTCAAGAGAATTCAGACATACGTTTTGTTCTCCTGTTGAACAGGTACAATTCCTTCCACTTGATCCATGCTATTGATTATCCTTAGCTTTTATGCTGCTTGAGTCTCCATTTTTTTCTGTTGAAGGTTTTCCATCCCATTCACGATCAATGTTTTTATTTAACAATGGAGCACAAGAAGAAACTGAAGGAGGAGTTCGGTTAGCACCATAAACTGATATATACCTTTGTTGCTTAATGCTTGCTGCTTGTTGCTGACAGAAACCTTTCAAAATTTTCAAGGTATTGAACCATGGACATTTGAGCAGAAACTTGGGGAGGCTGTGTTTATTCCTGCTGGATGCCCTCACCAAGTGAGAAATCTCATGGTAATGATAAACTCTTTACATGTTATACCGGGTACTTCAAAGTTTGCCTTTTTGCCATGTTCATAGTCATACGTGTCTCTTATTGTCAAGATCTCTAACTTCGATGGATTAAATGTTCTTGATTTATTAGGCATATTATTGTTGTGTTTTATGATAATTTAAGAGAGAATATTATGTAATTAATTAGGCACCAGATTCTTTGTTCTCTAGTTGTATATATTCTATTCAACTGTATCATCTCATTACAGAACAATATTAAAGTAATACATACCAGAATTACTTCATGGTGGGCCAGGTTTTGTACTAGCTTTGATTTCTTATGGGCACCTCATCAAAAAGCTCTACAAATATTGAGGATTCAAATCGAACTTCAATTGAGGCTTACCATTGATGGGTTGGTGGCCTTAGGTTCGAATGAATCCTCTTTTCTCCTTGCCATTGAAAAACTTGATGGAGAAACTACAGAGAATAGGCAAGAGTAATTCAATTGGCCATTAGAGTTGGTAATGCGGGCTGGCGGTGCGGATACGGGTCAGCCCGCAGCGGAGCGGGCTGAAGTAGCCCGCACCTTGGCGGGCTAGCATAATGCAGGCGGGTGCCCGCCAGCCCGCTTATTATTTTTATAAATTTTTTTTTTGAAAATCCATAAAAACATCCATTCTACACGGCCAAGCTTGCATCCATGACAAGTTCAACTTGTACATTCAAAATCCATAGTTCCATACAACCAAGTTTGCACATTTTGGTCTGAAAAATCTAGAAATATACACTCTTTATTAAAATTACAACATTCAAAAACAAATAAACATTCAAAACAATTAAAAAACACCAACCAGCAACAATTCAACATCAACCAAGTGTCCAAAAATTAAATATTACAAACAAAACACATCTAAATATAATCTAATTAGGTGGGACACTCGAAGCATTAAATGAAGCTTCTTCAGGATTGATAGAAACTATTTCTTCTTCAGGATCATCTTCTGCCACACATAATAAAATAATAGTATTAGATTTGCATTGCTCAATTGCACTTAATTGAAATGTTAATATATATATATATATATATATATAAAACAAATAAGCAGATATGATTATATTACCACTAAATGGAAAACCAAGATGCCAATTACGAGTACAAATGAGGGCTTGCACATTATTTGGAAGAAGGCTACTTCGATACTTTGTGAGAACTCGTGAACCAATACTAAAAGCTGATTCACTGGCAACCGTAGTTATGGGAATGCTTAGAATATCACATGCCATTCTTGCAAGACAAGGAAATCGAGGTGAGTTACTCTTCCAATAATCCAGAACCTGTAGGTTTACAAACAAGGTAGGATCAAGTGTTGCCTCTTCCAAATAATAGTCTAGTTCAGACTTTTCTATTGTCGTACTATCTTTGCTCTTGCATTCAAGATAATCCTACATCATAAGAATAAAACATTAGCAAAATTTCAATCAAAATTAGTATTTAGTAACATCAAAGGAAAACATTTTACTATTAAACAAATTCAAACTTACGTCAAAAACATCCAAGTAGTTAGATTGATCCCTCACAGAGAAATTAGGCGGCACTATGTTTGCAGGATGAATGGACCTCACATTCACACTGCAACTTGATTCAGCTTGAGCAATCTGGGATGTGGATGAAGATGATACCAGATTTTTGTACTCATTGAAAACACTGTACAACTTGCTCCTAACATATTCAATCTTCTCATGACAATTTATAGGATCAAGTCTTGAGTAAGAAAATTTTACAATATCAAATTTCATCCGTGGATCAAGGATAATTGCAAGTGAAAGAATGATAGAGTATGAATCCCAATATTTTTCAAACTTGTCAAGCATTCTAACAGCCATGTCTCGAATCACAGAATCATCATTATGCATATGACGCTTTAACATTGATTCAATTTTTGATATTTGCATGAAGTACATGTTAGAAGTGGGATATGTTGAACCAGACATCAAATTTGTAATCACTGCAAATGGCTTCAAGAATGTACACGTTGCTTTTGCTCTAGCCCACTCTTCAATTGTTGGACAATGATGATAATTGGTATCATTGAAAGCCAAATTAGCAAAGGCACGTCGATATTTAAGTGCACTTTCAAGCATGGCATGCGTAGAATTCCATCTAGTTGGGACATCTAACTTCAAACTCACTGTTTCAGGAACTTCAACTTGTTCAATACATCTCTTGAAAACAATTTTCCTCGCCTCTGATTGCCTTACATATCTAATACTCTCCCTAATCTTATGCATAGCATCACTTGCTACTTTCATGCCCTCCTGAACTATGAGATTCAAGATGTGGGCACAACATCTCACATGAAAAAACTCCCCATTGCATAGCAAGTCATTACTCAAATTCAACCTCTCCTTCAATACATTTTGCATGACATCATTTGCTGAAGCATTATCCAAAGTAATTGAAAATACTTTCTTTTCAATCCCCCAATCAATCAATAAATCATGCACTCTTTTAGCTAATTCAATCCCAGAATGAGGCGGCTCCATTTTAGAGAATGCAAGTATCTTGTTATTAAGTCGCCACTTCTCATCAACAAAATGAGTAGTTAAGCAAAGATGACCCTCACCGGTTATTGATGTCCAACAATCACTAGTTAAACATATTCTACTAAGACAATCCATCATCACTTTTTTTAGTTTTTCTTTTTGACTAATATAAAAATTCCAAACATCCAGCACTGCAATTTTTCTAGTAATGTTCTTATAATCAGCATTCAAATATTTGTGCAACTCCCTAACTGCTTCATACTCAACAAATGAATATGGGAAATCATGTCTAATGATACAAGCAGAAATCAGTTCTCGAACTTTGTTATGATCAAGTTGCCTAGATCTTACATTCTCTGCATGGTCTATCATCATCTCACCAATGTCTTTATATTTTGGGAGTGATACACACAATTCCATATGACGCCTAAGGGTTGAAGTCCCATACTCCTTTCCACCACAAACATTGTTTTCCACATCCATTACATTACGCTTTTTGTTTGCCATTTACCACACCAATTTTAGTGAAAAACTTCCAAACATCAGACGTATTTTTCTTTGCCCTCTTATTTGGATTATCTTGCACAGAAGATTCAGGTGTTATTCCTTGTCCAGATTGGTTTGGTATATTTGTTTCATCAGTAATAGCAGTAATCTCAACTTGCTTTCTTCTAGTTCCACTACCATCGGTAGCCATTTTTCTTTAAAATTAACTTGCAAATATCAACACTAATCGGCTAATCCCAATAATCCAGCAAAATCAACCAGAATGGGCAGAACAAATCAAAGACGAGCACAAATTGAAGAACAAATCCAGCAGCCACACAACAATCAAAGAAGAAGAGAGCAAAAATCGAATGTAAGGAAGATTTGCCTGTGAGGACGAGTTGAGCTCCAGTGACTCAAGACAGCTCGAGAGGCGGAGAGTTGCTGCGGCCTGTGTGTTGCGGCTTGCAAAGATGAAGAGTGTCAACTTGTTGTGTGCTGCGGCTTGTGAAGACAAGTGAAGAGTGAAGACGGAAGTTGCGTGGTTGCGAGGCCTGGAGGTATCTTTGCAAGCCGAGAGGCGGAGAGTTGCTGCGGCCTGTGTGTTGGATTTACTGATTCGGTGATTTTTGAACCCAGGGAGGCAAGGCCGCAAGGGAGAGTCGGAGATTCGCAGGGGTCCAGGGGAGAGCCGAGAGCAGTCAGTGCTAGCGGAGAGCCAAGCAGACCAGGGAGGCAAGGCTGCAGGGGAGAGCCGAGAGCGGTCAACGCCAGCGGAGAGCTAAGCGAACTAGGGAGGCGAGGCTGCAGGGGAGAGCCGGAGATACACAGGGGTCCAGGGGAGAGCCGAGAGCGGTCAGCGACTCAGCGCCAGCGGAGAGAGAGCCAAGTGGACTAGGGCAGTAGGGCACGATCGCACGAGCACGAGCACGATTTAGTTTCAAGATTCAAGACATTGAAGTTTGAAGACATGGGAGAGCCGGCGAGGTACACGATTTAGTCCATGAAGGGAAGTGGGAATTGGTCCAAGGGAGCTGGCAGGCGGAAGACCAAAATGTAAAAAAAAAAAAAAAAAAAGCGCACTAGCCCGTCGCGGACCGGGCTGAAAACGGTGCGAGCTGCATAAGTTTAGATTTTGGCGGGCTGGCATTTCCCCAACCCCTATTGGCCATCAAAGGTAGAGGAAAGATCATGTACCTTATTTGAGAAGCTTGAACACCAACTTCTAATGACGTGACATTTCTTAGGTGATGGCAATTAGAGAACTCTCTGTTTTGATGCCTTTTAATGCCTTGGCTGGTGAGTTCGTGATTCCATTGATGAATGACACATTATGCTTTTGAGCAGTGCGAAAGTAATTTGGTATGTGATAAAGCATATCCCCAGTGTGAAAACTCGGCACATATATTCAAAATTGAGATGGCAATAAGTATCACCTTGAGATGATGACTCTTTGACGAGAACTTGCCTTCAACTTGGAAGAAGATTGGCAATGCGCTAAGATAACGTCTTGTTCAAGCTCCATGTTACGCAGCAGAGGAAGAGAGAGAAACATGTAGAGAAGTTGAAGTCTTCAGTTCGCCTATATCCAAAGAATTCTGTTCCAATCACGCATGAGCAGTCTCTATTGTGGCAGCATGTTGATCCAGGCAATGCACAATGTCACCAATCCGTTCACCAGATCTTGTTTCCGGCATGATGGCATAGCCGGAAGGTTGGCTCTGATGCCAAATTGTTATGCAGCAGAGGAAGAGAGAGTAGAGGAAGAGAGAGAAACACGTAGAAGTGTATTATTCCAGAATCACCATCCAACGTACAATTAAGGGATATTTAAAGGCTAACAATCCCTTCAAACAACTAATTAGTTATACAAGTTGTAATAGAATTATGACACGTGCTAATTAATGCAACTGACTCATATCACTCCGAAACAAGAAGGATGGGTTCTTTGAATTTTTTGGCTTAAATAAGGACCTTGTCAAAGTTTATGGCTCCCAACTCCCTTTTTTATGATTTGTGAAGCATTTGCAAAAGTAAGGTGGCAGGAGGCTGTGAAGAAAGGTGATGATAAAAGTGGAGAAAAATGCTCTAGATGGGTCGAGTTTGTTGACTCGAAATATTAGGCTTGAACTTAATCAGAAAAGTAAGTGCTTGTTTGGAATAGCAATGGGAACTTTCAAAAGCAGTTTTTTAATTATAATTTATAGAATACGAGGTAAATATATGGGGAAAGTCTTGTCTCAACTTATGTGAACATGCTTATAAGCACTTAATATAGGTAGTCTCAAACAATGCTTGAGAAAGAGCAATAGGCCCCACAACCCAAAAAAGGTGAAGGGTGATATTCATGATTATTGATTCTAGTGCTTCTGATCACGTGGCAGATAATTATCCAATTATTTACTAACACTCCTAGTGTTGGTAATCGTGAAGTTGAAATGCAAATGGAACCTTAGCTCTTGTAGTTGGTAAAGGAAATGTTAAAATCTATGGTTCTATAATTTCAAATCCGTTCATTTTTTTGAAACTTGCTTGGAAGCTAACTAAAGGTTCCAATTGTTCTGCTAATTTTGCTCCAACACTTGTATATTTCCAGAGCTGTCATCGGGGATAACAATTGAAAGTGCTAGGCAAGTGTGAAGGGGTTTATCATCTTCAAAAAATTTTGAAGTTGATGGTTTAAGGACTAATGTTATTTGTAAATTTGCTTTATTCTTCGATAATGAATGACCTAATGTTATGATATCTACATATAGATCACCCTAGTTTAAAGTTTTTAAGTAACCTATTCCTTGAACTGTAATAAAAATTTGGTTAATTTTCAATGTTAAAGTTGCAAGGTGGCCAAGCGTCACAAAAACACTACTCAAAAGCCACATATGAGGTATCTTTTTGGCTTTTATGTGGGGGTTTCTCATAAATACCCAATAGAACTTGCATAAAATGGTTTGTTTCATTTAGTAATGACCTAGTGTTATAATTGGTTATGTCTATTAAAAGATAAATATGAGGTTCCTTGTGCATTCACGAATTTCCATACAATGTTTAAAACTTTACTCAATGCTAGTATCCAAATCTTAAATTCAAAAAATGGTACCAGATTCTTCAATCAAACACTGGTTACCTTCCTAAGAACACCAAGAGATCTTTTAATATGGCATAACTTTTATTGAAATCTTTACACTAATGGCCACAGAATTTGAAAGGACCCGGGTTAATTAAGGTACTTCTTGTGAATAGAGGTTGCGACACCAAGAAAATAAACATGTGATGTTAAGATGCAAACCTAGTGGTACTCTAATCAAGCTCGATAGAAGAACTTGTTTTCCAAAGCTCAAGTGTAAGCCTTTATGCTTATTGAGAAGGTTCATAAAATGGCAACAATAGTAACAAGAAGCCTTATCCCACTAGGTGGGGTCATCTACTGGATCGTGTGACGTCATTGTGTTCTATTAACAACCAAATTTTTAAAGGGATTGTTAACTAAAAGGTCTTGTTAAATGACCTGAGTGTTCTTCTTGATAGTCTTCTGTCTTTTTTTAAAGGACTCCAAACTTTCTGATCTACACTCTTCATTGGCACTTCTAATGGCTTTTTTTGCATATGTGCAAACTACCCCAAATGATATTCAATCATTTTCTTTTCAATAGGCGCTATGCCTACTCTTACTCATCATTTCGAATATTATCTTTTTTTGTATTACCATACATTCATCTCAACATTTTCATTTCTGTTACCTCAATTTTATGCTCGTTTTCCTTTTAGAGCGTAACATTCACTACCATATAACATGGTTGGTCTTGTAATGGTTCGATAGAACTTTCATTTAAGCTTATCAGGTACTTTCTTATCACAAATAATTCAATAGTCTTTTTCCACTTTAACTGCCCTGCTTGTATTTTATGAGACATTTCTCCATCAAATAGTAAGATTTACAATTAGACATTGTATTTCTATGGGGGAATCTAGTAACATGAAGAAGCAAGAAGTAATATTGTGGCTAGAAGAAATGTAGATATGGCTTAAGGAATATTAGTAGGACCCTTGCTATATAAGCTTTTGGAAGAACTTCATATCACCATTACTTCACCATCAAGATCTATTGTGATAGTAAAGTAGTCACTATGACTTGTTTTGTTCAATTCCATGCATTAGGATTATCTGCATTCTGTTGATTTAGGTGTTTGGTTGCTACTGTAAAGTAATCCAAAGTAATGGTGATTACAGTATATTACAACAAATCACGTAGTTCCCATTACATGACCTTGGCTACGTAATTTGAATTCAAGCTTATCTGAATCAACGCAGAACATTTTTACCCTCCATAAATCAACATTTAGACATTCATTCCTCTGTTTTTAGCCTTAATAGAGTTAAAAAGACCATTTCACATGTATTTTTATTTTTTCTAGATAAACTATAAATTCCATTTAATAATTCCTTGATGGCATACCAAACATGATAGGATTAAGCTTGTGAAGGTTGATAGGCATTTGATTAAAGAAAAAGTGGAAGAAGTTGTTCTTTAGGGCATATATTGCCACTAAAGACGCAAAGAACAAACAAGAGATATCCTCACAAAAAGGTTTGTCTCACCAAACAGTTGGAGGACTTAGTAAGCTGGACATGATTGATATCCCATGATTCAAATTGAGTAAGTTGGACATGATTGATATCCCGTGATTCAAATTGAGGGAGGGTGTCACGATCTCTTAACTTCTTGGGATTAAACAGTCTTCTTGATTTTTGGGAATATTGCCATTGTGTTTTATGAGAATTAAGAGAGGATATATTTTAATTAATTAGCCAGCAGATTCCTTTTTTCTCTGTGTATATATTCAGTTATACCGTCTTAATACAGAACAATTCAAATAAATGCCTGATTTGCTACACTTACCAGTTTCCATGCTTCTTATCTGTCAACTCATCAGACCGTAACTCACATGTGAATGTTCCAAACCTTTACTTTTCTGCAGTCATGCACAAAAGTTGCTGTGGATTTTGTGTCCCCAGAAAACCTCCATGAGTGTCTGCGTTTAACTAATCAGTTCCGGCAGCTTCCCAAGAACCACAGGGCCAGAGAAGATAAACTTGAGGTGATGTGTGCTTCCAATTTTTATTTCATGTTTCTTTTCTGGCTCCCCGCTTTCTGAAATATGCCCAAGAATTCTTATATATGCTATCAAGACTAAATCAATCTAAACCCAAAAAAAAAAAATAATAATAATGATGCTTTTGTTTGGTGGAACAGATAAAGAAGATGATAGTGTATGCTGCTGACCAGATTCTCAAAGATTTTGAGTCCTTGCTCAAGTGTGCTTGATTGGCTTTGGAGCTTCTTCTGCTACTTAGAAAAGGATTTTCCTTAGGCCAAAAGCATCTTGTACAGCGGGATTGTTTCCGGAGCGTAATCACTGATCGTTCCCTTAACGGAACGAGTCCTCATTGGTAGCTCTGTATATATTTTAGGAAACAGTTTCTTGTAATTTTCCATTCATGATGAATAAATTTAGCTCCTCCCTCAAAAGCTAGAGCTCATGATCACAAGAAAATGGAGAGTGATAAAAGTGGAAAAGTTCACTTTTTTTAACCCGACAAAATCAATGTACGTATAGCACCAATCTATTTTAAACTTTCGGAATAAATTTTTCCCATGAAAATTATAACAGCAGAAGCATAAGTTCGAAAGTTTGGTATGAAATTATAGTTGTAAGTTTACATGGTCTAACTCAGTCATAATCCTCAAAGATGAAATGGAGATAAGAATTGTGAGATAAAAGGCAATAATGTGCAATTGTGCAAATATAATAAGTTCCAACTTATTATAAAATTTCTTTCTATAAAAAAAAATCATTTGTCCTTTTATTTAAATTAAATGACTTTAAATGATCTTTCAGGATATTTTTTTTAATTTACTCAAAAAAATTACCATTCTTTTAATAAGATGATCAAATATATTTGCAAGTATAAAATATTAGCTCAATGTAACAAGATCATAAAAATATAACACACGAGACAGTAGCGCACACTAAAAACTAACAAACTTCCTCTGGTTTTTTTAATAAGAGCTTGATAACCAAATTATGCAGTTTAAAAAAAATTAAATTTAGTTAAAAATAATAAATATGTAAAAAATGATAAAAACACACTAAATGTTAAATAACTACAATTGAGATTTTATAAAAAAAATCAAGACAATTCAAATTTTAAATTCTCGTAAAAAGAATTGGAAGAGAGTTCACGAAACTAAATATAACAAATAAATGTTTAAATAACTACAATTGAGATTTTATAAAAAGAACCAAGACAATTCAAATTTCAAATTCTCATAAAAAGAATTGGAAGAGAGTTCACAAAACTAAATATAAAAAATACAAATATAGACACAATTATTACAATCGCAATAACACAATAGTCAAATTAAAAGCTCCAATAAGTAAAAGAATACAATAGCTTATGATCAGGAACTAGATAAAAGCCCTGTCAAGTCACAAACATAAAATTGATGATCTATCAAGTAGTGCATCTTTTGAAGAATCCTTATACTGTAACACCGCAGAGTGAAGAATTAATCAAAAAATTGTTGAAGCAGCTTAGGCCACTAATTTAGTATCAAAAGGGAAATAACAGGCATATGCCCAAATTGAATTTGAATAAAATGGGCACAACCAAACTTAAGTTGGAAGTACCATATAGATTGTGCAAACACTTGTAATATTTTGAAACTTAACCAAAGGTGTACTTGATCATGATGTTGGGATGGAACCTAGATTTTGTAATACCTAAAACACATTACATAAAACTAAAAGCCAGTAGCAAATAGAAGGATGTTGAAATTTCAAGAGAACCTTTCAGTCTGCTAAATTGTTGAAAAACTAAAGCAAAGGGTTAATATATGCTAAAAATCCCCAATTGGGTTTCTCAATCTTGTTCTTGCAAATCAATTTCATACAAACAAAATGTCAAACTGAGAGATAGTAGATTGACTTCCCTCGTGCAAAACCTTCATGTCCTTCAAATTGAACTTTGATTCCAATCATGGCTTCCTCTACATTTGTATACCACGAAGGCATGTTAATCCTGAAGCTTTCCATGGACCATCACCAATTAATTTGTGCATCATAATTCAACTCTTAAACTTCAAAGCTTTCCTTCTTATTACTATTAGGGAAGATTTTCATTTCGCTATTTCTTCTTCCCCTTTATTTTCCCTTTTGAATTTTTCTTGCATGGTGTCAATGTCCTCCTCAAACTGAGATCTCTTTCAGGAAGACACCATAGACCTTGATATTCATGTCCACTATTTTTTAAATACCAGACACATACTTGACTATTCTTCAACATCTACTTTGGACTATCTCTTTTGATTTCTTCTTTGATAAGAGAAGACATGTCTTGATTGTTTCCTTCTTAATTTACCTTCAGCTAGCCTTCTCCTTATATGCTCATTACTCAATAGTGTGCCCAAACCCAAAAGCCATAAAGAATAAATCAGCCACCTATATCATGGATGCCTTTATCTCAACCCCCATCTTCTTATAGAATTTTTTAAGCAGAGAATCCTTGTAGGATTTTAACTATTTGATCATGTATATCTCAACTAATTAACCTTACAAGCTCAAAAAAAAAAAACTAATTAGCCTTAATATTGGGCACTTTTATTGGGATACATCTTTTTCAAAACACTCATAAATTTTGAAAATTTAAATTAATTTTTTAAATAAAACTAAACTAATGATAGGATTATTATGCCTTCCCATTTTGCTGAGGCGAGCTGTTAAGCGGGAATGGGGTAGAATGAAATGAAAAGAAATATTCTATTGTTTATTGGGTTTTGTTGAGAGAAGCAATGATTCATTTGGCCAATTTTTGATAATTATTGTAAAACTAATGTAATAGAATTAATTATAATTATTTTTTTTCCAACTTCAGCGGGAGTGTTGGAGAAAGAAATGGGGCTGAAAAGGGTGTGGGTGTTTATATAGAATCTAATTAGAAAAATATTTAAAATATTGAGTATTATAAAAGAAATTAGAGAGTATATCAGAGAACCCAATCTCAATAATTTGATGTACATATCGTCATGCTGATTGACAGTCTGTTTGGCATAACGTTTTGGAGGGGAAAAAATAACGTATGAGTATAATAAATTAGTTTATAAATTTGAGAGCTATTTGTTATAACTTTTGACTAATCTAATTTATAGGTTAAAAGCTACTTTTTAAACATGATTGCAAAAGTATCTAAAATTTATTTATGATTTATGCAAAAGTAACTTTTGAAATTAAAAGACATTTTTACCTTTATGTCTATGTTGTTCTTATACTTCTCTCTATATATTCTTTGTACTTTCCAATCAATGTGTTATTTGTTTTAATATTCTAAAACAATTTTTAACAGTTGTTATAATATTTTTAATTTTTAATATTAGTTTTTATTCTATATTTACATAAATTATACCGAGTATATCATCCAATTAATTATGTAATATTATTTAGTTCAAAAATTTTCACATTAATATGATTTCTAATTTAAATATATTTTATTAAGTAAATATAACTTTTTCATATCATAATAATTTTAAATTATTATATTTTTTAAATTCATATTTTTAATCATTTCTCATTATTAAATGAAGGGTTAATATAAATTTTGATCCTTTAAGTTTATCTTTCTTTTGATTCTAGTCTCTAAATTTTCAAACCATATGTTTTAGTCTATTAAGTTTCTTTTCATTTAAAACATTAGTTCGTATAATCCAATAAAAACTTAGACCATTTTGCTTTTTAAAGGACCAAAACTTATAGTTTAAAACTTGAGGAACTAAAATTAGAATGAGAGTAAATTTGAAGGATCAAAAATTATATTAACCCTTTAATAAAAATTATAACCATTTTGGTTATTAAACTTACTTATTTAATCATAATTCAAATAACTTTTTCACTTTACAAACTAACTTTATAAAAATCAATCTAAATACAAATAATACCATCCAATCTAACTTTTATTCAATATTACTTTTCAAAAAATCAAATTAAAAATAAATTAGTTTTTTCAGCGCTAATCCAAACCAACCTGATCTGTTTAAACACCAGCCGGCTCAATCTCTCGTTATTCAGCCCAATCCATTTTTTTCCCCCGAAAAAACTTCGGACGTTACTTGTTAGCGCCATCATCTTCCTGTTATCTTGTGTTCTCGGCCACTGGTTGTCTCGCTCTTCTCTGCATCTCATGCGAAATGCACGCCCAGCTCATGCATACTCATGCACAGCTTCAGTTGCTTCAATTTCAGCCCCTTCCGCTTCACTCACTTGCATTTCCTTTTCCTACAAAGCGGCTTCGTTCTCGAAATTTCACCGTTTCAACGACTAAAAGTAGTCACTTTGGGCTTAGATTGTGCGATAGGAGCTTTAGTTATGGTACTTGTGTTAGGAACTCGGTGACTGGGGGAGCCAGTGAAGTGGAGTATCAGAAGCCGAAACAGCCAGTGGTGAATAAGCCTTACCCTTTCCATGAGATTGAGCCTAAGTGGCAGCGTTTTTGGGAGGAGAACAAAACTTTTCGAACCCCAGATGATGATATCGATACCTCCAAACCTAAATACTATGTACTTGACATGTTCCCGTATCCCAGGTCCCTCCCCTACTTAACATTACTAGCAGTTTCTGCTATCAATTTTCTATTTAGGATGTCAGGGTTGTCTCATTTAATGGGATTTGAGTATGCTTTCGTGTCCATAATTGGTTCTACCCATTTAATCACTGTTCATCATTTTGTTGAACTATTTTTTGTAGCGGAACTGGGCTACATGTTGGGCATCCCCTGGGATATACTGCCACGGATATTCTAGCTAGATATAAACGCATGCAGGGATACAATGTGTTGCATCCAATGGGATGGGATGCCTTTGGGCTTCCTGCTGAACAATTTGCTATTCAGGTTTGTTTTTTGGGTCTGGCCTCTGACTTATGTTGTTTAGGGATATCGTGACAATTTTTAACTTCGGTTTAATTGTCTGTCTGTATTTCAGACGGGAACTCACCCAAAGATCACTACGATGAGGAACATTAATCGCTTTCGTTCTCAGGTAATTTTATCAAATTAATGAATGATGATGGGACAGTGTTAACTCTCACCAAGAGAAGTCATGCTTTTAATTTTACTTTAGAAGATTTATTAAGAAGATTGCTTAAAGAGTATTGAAAATTCACTCTGCCATATTATTTCATATGATGTGGGTACAATATATAGAGTCTCATACTACCGGTTACAATCAATCAGTAATAAATGAAAGATATTGCAATATCACAAGTAATCAGGAATTCATTGTCTAGCTAGAATCATGGGTAAATCATGGAGAGAATAAAGGGAGAGAATCAGGGAGAGAATCAAGGGCTTCTAACACTCCCCCTCAAGCTGGAGAGTAGATGTCAACCATTCCCAGCTTGCTTCGAAGCCCTTCAAACTTGACTCTGGCTAACGGTTTGGTCATGATGTCAGCAATCTGATCAGTTGAACGCACATAGTTCAAGTTAATGATGCCATCC